GTGGGAGCTGAAAAGATGCTATGGAAATTCTTGGAAACTCCCCCCCCTCCCTCCCTCCCTCCTTCCTTCCTTCCTTCCTTCCTTCCTTCCTTCCTTCCTTCCTTTCTTTCTTTCTTTCTTTCTTTCTTTCTTTCTTTCTTTTCTTTCTTTCCTCCCTCTTTCCTTCCTTCCTTCCTTCCTTGTCTCTCTTTTTCCTTCCTTCCTTCCTTCCTCCCTCCCTCTCCTTCTTCCTTCCTTGTCTCTCTTTTTCTTTCTTTCCTTCTTCCCTCCCTCTCTCCCTTGTCTCTCTTTTTCCTTCCTTCTTTCCTTCCTTCCTTCCTTCCTTCCTTCCTTCCTTCCTTCCTTCCTTCCTTCCTTCCTTCCCTCCCTCCCTCCCTCCCTCCCTCCCCCCCCTTAGGACTTCCATCGTAGCAAGGCCCAAAGGGACCAAAACGGCCCCGTGCCACCTTGTGCCTTCAGGCCGAGCCTCGAACGATGGGCGAGACGCGGCTTCCTGTGCCTCCGAAAGCTGCCACTGCTGCAGTTTGCAAGCAACCTGTGGGCAGAGGTGGGAGGCTGAGCCTTGATGCTCTCATCTTCTCTCGTGTCACTTCCTTTGCTCTCAGCCTCGCAGAGATTCGGTTCAAGGCGTGGAAGGCAAGAGAGGAAGGCAGGGGGTGGTCCCCACCCAGCTTGGTCCATTCTTGGGGTACAGCCGCGGGGCAAGAAGGCGGAATCCCATCCTTCTCTCCTGATGTGGCAGGTCTCCCTGCAGTTTTACGGATGCTCTTCCCTCCGTCCGTCTGAAACTCTGCCTTCGGTGGACGAAGCTTCAGCAAACCCCTCTAAAAGTTGCCGACTTTTTGGGGTGACCATGGAGAAGGTGTTTTATGCGCTGCTGGGATTTCTTTTCTGCCCGTCTGCTTTGCTGGTCAAACCCTTCGGTACGTACCCAGCGTGTTCCTCGCGAGTAACGGTCTCAGTTGAAGAAAAGAACTTTAAAACACCGGCGGAAGGCTTTGCGGTGAAGACCGGATAACCATTTGTCCAAATTGGTGCAGGGTTTCTTCTCTGGCCAGGGGGGTTGGACTAGAAGACCTCCAGGGTCCCTTCCGGTTCCATTCTGATGAATATCAACTGCTTTTTTTTTCTACTGCTTGTCTTATAGAGCAGTTTGCTATGCTAGTGGGGTATGTAACCTGTTCTGAAATTCAGGGTTTTTTTTATTTTTGGAACAATTAAGTAGCAAGACACAAAAACAAGAGACTTTTAGTGGCTCACGGAGAAAAACCAGAGAAAAGTTCTTTCCAAATCTGCCATTCTGTTATTCTATTATACTGTTGGTTGGGTGCAGAAAGAAACGGCCCCAGGATTGATTGAAAGTTGAAGATTTTAGTTTTCCAGAAAGGATTGGCGAGGGAAGTCAAAGGCTGCCTGAACCCCAGAAAGAGCCTGGTGGCGCAGCAGACTAAAGCACTGTTATTAACATCCAGCTGCCTGCAATTACTGCAGGTTCGAATCTCGCCAGGCTCAAGGTTGACTCAGCCTTCCATCCTTTCTAAGGTAGGTAAATTGAGGACCCAGATTGTGGGGGCAATAAGCTGACTTTGTATAAATATACAAAAGTATGAAGGCTATTGCTGAGCACATTGTAAGCCGCCCTGAGTCTCCGGAGAAGGACGGCATATAAATCAAATTAAAAAAAAAGAAAAGAAAAGAAAGATGAGCTTCAATCCAGCATTAATTAGTAGAGAACAATATCAGTTAAAACCGTATTAAATCTCAGCAGGTTGTGCAATTTTGATAGAAGAGGATATTTGTAACTTAGAGTTGAAAACCTTGGTGGTTTTCTTGCAAACGTTTCATGACCCAAATAAGTAACATCATCAATGCTAGAAGGGAAGGGGGTTTGAGGAGAGGAGAAGGAGGAGGAGGAAGAAGAAGAGGAGGAGGAGGTCATCTGTGGGGTCTTTAATGCTCTCTGAGTTTGATAGTTTTCTGGCAGACATTTCTTTACCAAACTAGGTAGCATCATCGGTGCTAGAAACCCCACTCCCTTCTAGCACTGATGATATTACTTAGCTGGGTTGTGAAACATCTGTTAAGAAAACAACAAGGCTCAGAAAGTTGTGTAGTTGTTTGCCATAACCTAGCCTGATGCTATGAATAGCCTTTATATTTGCCAATATGCTACTGAAAATCGATTTATCCGGTGGAACTCATTGCCACATGATATTGCTTTAGCACTGGATTAAACACATTAAAACGGATGACAATATTAATAAAACAGTGGGTTTTATTATGTTTTGAAGAAGCACAGTTTTCTACGTTAAAGGGTTGTTAAGGCTGCCAATCTGGCTTTAAAGATAATTATTTTCCAAGCTTCTTAGATTTGGAGAGGAAAAAAAAAAGAGTGTTGAGAAAAACACAGGAGGATTGGCGGTATGTGGGGTGAATCAATTCTGCAGTTGAATAAAGCGTTAAAATCTCCCCAAATTTTCATAGGAGGAGCTGAGTTCTAATTCTGCAAAACAGTGACATTTCTCTTCTTCCATGTTATCTGTGCCACCCGTCATTTTTCTACATTTCTATTAAATCTTTCCGTGTCGGTTTTTTTTCCCCTTGCATTTTTGTTCACTTCTGCTGATTTCCTTGCTAAGGTGCGGCAACCAGAATGGAATTCATTGAGGGTCTCGTCATAGATTTGCGATAAGATAATAATATCTTAACCAGCGTTTTAATTTTCCGTTTCTTTCCTCGCCCGTTCCAAATGTGCATTTTGTCCGCTCGACAGAGCTGCTGACTGCAAGGCCAAGAAACCTTTGCACACTCCTTACACAGACTTACATCGGTCGTTTTAAAGATCATGATTTGAGTATAACAGAATGAGAGAGTTGGAAGGGACCTCAGAGGTCTTCTAGTCCAACCCCCTGCTCAAGCAAGAGACCCTGCTTAACCCATTCCAGTCAAACTTCTTAAAAGCCTCCAGTGTTGGCCCACCCACAACTTCTAGTGGCAAGTCGTTCCACTGGTTAATCATTCTGACTGTCAGGAAATTTCTCCTTATTTCTAACTTGGTTCTCTCCTTGATTAGTTTCCATCTATTGCTTATTGTCCGAGTGCTTCGGAGAATAGGTTGACCCCCCCCTCTTATTTTTGGCAGCCCCTCAAATGTTGGAATACTGCTCTCATGTTATTATTATTTTTTTTTATTAATTTGATTTTTATGCCACCCTTCTCCGGAGACTCAGGGCGGCTTACAATGCGCTAAGCAATAGCCTTCATCCTTTTGTATATTTATACAAAGTCAGCTTATTGCCCCCACAAACTGGGTCCTCAATTTACCTACCTTAGAAAGGATGGAAGGCTGAGTCAACCTTGAGCCTGGTGAGATTCGAACCTGCAGTAATTGCAGGCAGCTGGTCTTAATAACAGGGTGCTTTAGACCACTGTACTACCAAGGCTCTGTCTTAGGTCACCCATAATCCTTCTTTTCTCTAACTAGCCATGCCCAGTTCCTGCAACTGTTCTTCGTATGTTTTAGCCTCCAGTCCCTTCATCATCTTTGTGGCTCTTCTCTTCTCTGCCAACGTGATCCCTTGGCATCTGAGATCTAAGTAATCTGGTCGCTTTGCCGTGGTCCCTTCTCAGATTTCTCTTACCAAGTTAAGCAACGGGAGGAGGCCACGTTGGCCAACAATATGGGATTTCTCATATTGGGCAATAGAGATGGACAACCTCTTCTGGATGCTCACCAGCTTTCCAGGTTGGGTGGCTCCAGAGAAGGTAGAAGGCTATTTATTTATTTATTTGTTTGTTTGTTTGTTTGTTTGTTTGTTTGTTTGTTTATTTATTTATTTATTGGTTCGATTTATATGCCACCCTTCTCTGGAGACTCAGGGCGGCTTACAATGCGTTAAGCAACAGCCTTCATACTTTTGTATATACCTGCTTAGTAGGGCTTTCGCCCCCCCCATACGGTGTTCTTTTTTTTAATACAAAGTCATCTTATTGCCCCCACAATCCAGGTCCTCATTTTACGTACCTCGGAAGGATGGAAGGCTGAGTCAACCTTGAGCCTGGTGAGATTCGAACTCGCAGTAATTGCAGGCAGCTGGTGCTAGTTAACAGCGCTTTAGTCTGCTGCGCCACCCAGGCTCTTCTACAGGGGTCCCCTGAAGGACTTCGGGATGGAAGCAATTCAATTCCAATTCAATTCAGAATAGACCTGGAAGGGACCTTGAAGGTCTTCTAGTCCAACCTCTTGCTCAAGCAGGAGACTCTATACCCGTGATGGCGAACCTATGTCACGCGTGCCCAAAGTGGCACGTGGAGCCATGTCGCCTGGCACCCACGGCAGTGCCCGTTCCTCTTCTGGGTTTCTGGCGTGCATGCGTGTGCGATGATCAGCTGGCCTTCGTGCATGTGGCAGTGTCGGAAATTGGAAGAGCTGCTCTTCCGTTTTCCGGTGTGAGCATGCGCGCCAGCCAGCTGATCGTCGCATGTGCGCCAGCCAGCTGATTGTGGTTGTAGCTGCAGTGCTCAGATAGAAAGTCCCTACAGAGAGTGGTGAGGACAGCGGAGAAGATTATAGGAAGCTCCCTTCCCGTTATTCAGGATGCTGCTTATAAGGGCTGTGTGCTTAGAGATGAAAGGGTTGTTAGAGACCCCACACATCCACTGTGTGGGGTCTGTTGCCCCCCTCTGGGAGCTGTTTGCAATGAAATTTCAGTTTAATATATGCCGATTGGTGTACATTCAAAGTGACAATAAAGTTATTATTCTATTAGGTCTTATTTTTGGGGAAATACGCTAAATATGTCCATCTGGCTTACAATCTTAACCAGGGCTTATTTTTGGGGGTAGGCCTTATAGTACAAGCACCCTGAAAAATCATGCTAGGCCAAAGTTTATTTTCTGGTTAGGTCTTATTTTTGGGGAAACACGGAATTCTATGACACAGAGAAACAGGGCAAGAACAACGAATCTTGCGAGTTTAGTGCCGTTGTAACTTCAAACGGTCACTAAACGAACCGTTGTAAGTCGAGGACCTCCTGCACGAAGCCTTAAAACTTCCATGGACGCGTCTGCTAATTCAATTGTGTGATTGACGTTTCTTCTGCTCATTATTTTTTTTTTTCTTCTCCCAGTACATTTTCACCCACTCCAGTTAAATTTAACGGAAGGAGAGACGGCTAAGTTTACTTGTTCCATCTCCAACCCTGATTTGGGAAAACATCTGGACTGGTACAAACAGGGCCACGACCGTCAGCCGGTCAAATTGGATGGCAGCAGCCGAAAGTACAGTTTTGCCAAACGAGACGAGCGCAGGTACGAGATGGAAATCATGCAGGTGGAGAAGAACGACAGCGGGACTTACTACTGCTGGGTGAACCCCTTCCACTCCGAAGGGATCATGCTGGAGAGCAACCGAAGCAGCCTCATTGTGACAGGTGTGTGACGGCGTATTTCGAGGAGTGGCTGGGGTGGTTTTTAGCAGCAAAAACCACCAATTGTACAGATAAATGATAGTCCTCGAATTATGACTTCGATGAAGTGCAAAATTTCCATTGCTAAGCAAGGCTGTCCTAAAATGTCCCATTTTATCACTTTTCTGGCCACCGTCGTTAAGTGAATCACTGCAGTTGTTAAGTTAGTAACACGGTTGCTAAGTGAATCTGGCCTCCCCATTGATTTTGCTTGTCAGGAGGTCTCACAAGGGGATAACCCCAGGACACTGCAACTGTCATAAATATGAGTCAGTTGGAAGGGAGCTTGGAGGTCTTCTAGTCCAACCTCCTACTCAAGCCAGAGGCCCTATAGCATTGCAGACAAGGGACTGCCCAGTTTTTTTCTTAAAAACCTCCAGTGATGAAGCACCCACAACTTCTGGTGGCAAGCAGTCCCACTGGTTAATTGTCCTCACTGCTAGGAAGTTTCTCCTTAGTTCCCGGATGCTTCTCTCCTTGGTGAGTTTCCATCCGTTGCTTCTTCTCCTGCCTTCGGGTGCTTTGGAGAATCGGTGGACCCCCCAGATTCACTTAACAACATGGTTGTTAAGTGAATCCAGCTTCCCCATTGACTTTGTTTGTCAGAAAGTCTCCAAAGGGGATCATGTGACGTGAGCCCCGGGGACATTGCAACCGTCACAAATATGAGTCAGTTGCCAAGTGTCTGAATTTTGATCACATGATCATGGGGATGCTGCAAAGTGTTGTGGAGCTGGAGGCAGACTCAGAGAGTGAGGAGGTTGGGGAGGAACATGGGCCAGTCATGGAGTCTGGGGTTGGCTCTGCGTCGGAGGCAGAGAGGGGGTCAGGGCCGTCTGACAGTTGTCAGCTGCCTTCGGAGTCAGACATCAGTGGGGCAGAAGAACAGCTGGGGCCTGTTCCCAGTGTGCCCATGCACAGAGTTGCCAGATGAAGGGAACAGCTAAAGAACAAGGGTCGACTCAGGAGTAAAGCCACAGGTGACCGATGAATGGCCGCTCCCAGAGGGAATAAAAGAGGAGCGAAAGGGGAGTGGAGTTTGCAGGAGACAATTAGTTCGCTTAATTGGTTCGTGACTCTCCGAGACTCCTTGCCAAGTTTCGAAGCTATCGGCCTGGCAGCTCTCCAAGCCAGATAAGGCCTCTGTCTGTAAATTCTCCCTTGAAAGACTTCGCTGGATGGGAATGAGAGGAATTGACAGTGACTTAATAAAAAGTTTGGGTTTTTGACGGGATCAGGAGTCTGCTTCATGCTCTTGGGAAGCCTAGGTCAGAACAGGTCGTAACTGTGAAAAACGGTCCTAAGTCACTTTTTTCAGTGCCGCTGTAACTTTGAACGGTCGGTAAACGAATGGTTATAAGTCGAGGACTACCTGTATAGAAGGGTGTTGCATAGAAGGTACTAAGAGAGCAGTGATTGCTGTCCAACCTTCATGGACACTGAAGTGGGAGAAATGCTCTGTTTCAAGCGGTGAATCTCGGCATGGGCGTCAATCAAGAGATCAGGAATGAAGCTGTGTAGGTTGGCCTTCTACAATGGCCTGGGTGGATCCCAGATCAATGGTTCTCCACCTTTCACACTTCTTTGTCCTGGGTCCCACCACGGCCGAAACCAACCAACCCAGAATGTCCTTTCCAAAGAAGGACACTCATCTCTTGACAAGCATTTTATTATCATACTAGCTGTACCCGGCCACACGTTGCTGTGGCTCAGTCTGGTTAAATGGAAAAGACGAACATCTTCGTCTCCTTCTGACTTTGCTTGTCAGAAGGACGCCAAAGGGGATGACATAACCCCAGGACATTGCAACTGTCATAAATATGAATCTGCTGTCCCTCCCCCATCTCTCTCCCACTCCCTCCCCGTCCCTCCGCCTCCCTCCCTCTCTCTTTCTCGTTCTCTTTCTCGTTCTTTCTCTCCATCTCTCTCTCCCTCCATCCCCCTCCCTCCCTCTCTCTCTCTTTCTCGTTCTCGTTCTCTCTCTCTCACTCCCTCTCTCTTTCTCTTTCTCTCTCTCTCTCTCCCTCCCCCTCCCTCCCTCCCCTCTCTTTCTCTCTTTCTCGTTCTCTCCCTCTTTTTCTCTCTCTTTCTCCCTCTCTTTCCCTCTCTCTTTCTCCCTTCCCCTTCCCCTCTCTTTCTCTCTCTTTCTCCCTCCCTCTTTCTCCCTCCCTCTCCCTCCCCCTCTCTCTGCCTTCCTTTCTCTTTCTCTCTCTTTCTCGTTCTCTTTCTCTCTCGTTCACTCTCCCTCCCTCCCCCTCCCTCTCCCCCTCCCTCTCTCTCTCGTTCTCTCCCTCTTTTTCTCTCTCTTTCTCCCCCTCTCTCTCCCTCTCTCTTTCTCTCTCTCTCCCTCCCTCTCTCTTCCTCCCTCTCCCTTCCAATTAATGAGCAACATCGCAACATTGCACACTTAATACGTGTGTTGCTTTTACGTCCAACAGATGGCGCTGTTTTTCAAAAAAGCATGTTTTTACCTGTCACCTGTCACAGGTATGACATCTATATAATAGTAGGTATATAAAAACACGTGTGTATTCGAATGCAACGTTGTGTCAAAATTTCAAAGCAATCAGTGCAGAACTTTCAGAGATTTAAGATTTTGAACAAACGAACAATTACATTTTTATTTATATAGATTTAATTTAAGGCAAGGAGTCTTGAGTTTCACCTAAACGATCACTGGGTCTTGCTTATGGACCATGGCTGGACAGGTAGAGGACCACCGGTCCAGATGGAAGCTGGGAGCATGTAGGACCATGATAATCTCCAATGAAGAGAACAGTGGCCTTCAACCTTCAGAACTTTAAGAAGTCTGGACTTCAACTCCCAGAATTCCCTAGCTATTGAAGAATTGTGGGAGTTGAAGTCCATCTTAAAGTTCTCAAAAGTTCTGAGAAACACTGGAATAGGATCTAAGGTACGAGAAACACCAAATTCACATTTTTTGGTATCATTTTCCCATTAAAGATGTCCATAAGTCAATGTTTCTGAACGTTAGCAACTTTAAGATGGGTGGACTTCAACTCCCAGAATTCCCTAACCACTGGAGAATTCTGGGAGTTGAAGTCCACCCATCTTAAAGTTCTCAAAATTCCAACGGATGCCCTAATATTAAATCATGAGCCCCGAGCCAAGCTTCAATAGAAATCCAATTATTTATTAGGAGCTTCATGTCAGCACGTTCCAAGTGAAGCCAACTCTAACCCCACGTAATTTATGACCCAGGCATGACCCTGTTTCCCCCCTCCCTCAGTGTGTGTCATCAGTCACATTCACCAATGGAACAATTTCGCGGGTTGTAGAGATCACTCCCCTCTGGCTGCTGTGGGTAACCTTGGGAGACAGCCTTGAGAGAGATATGTCTGGAATGTGCTTTTGTTTTTGGCAGCCGTGCTGCTTCGTCGGTTTTCCCACTCCCCTTGTCTATGGCAACTGGAGAGCAGGCCAGGGATGCTTTGCGAGTTGACATTTGGCTCCCCTCGCTTGGCTTCCCCAAGCACTGTAGTAGGATCTAAGGCATGAGAAACACCACATTCACATTTTTTCCGTACCATTTTCCCATTAAAGGTGTCCATACATCAATGTTTCTTAGGAACTTTAAGATGGGTGGACTCCACCTCCCAGAATTTCCTCTAACCACTGGGGAATTCTGGGAGTTGAAGTCCACCCATCTTAAAGTTCCCAAGGCTGAGAGACACCGATCCAAGGAAAATCAGCCCTCCTATCCGGAGAGATGTGGGCTAGGTTGTGTGTCCCAGGTGTGTCTCCTGTGAACCTGGATTCGCTCTGGATGAGCTGAAGTTTTGGCATGAGGAATGCAGAAGTAATCTTGATGTTCTCGTCTCCAGAAAACGTCGCTGCAACTGAACCTCCAGACGAGATCGCCGGGGTCAAGGAACAGGATGAAGGTGTACGAAAAGACACCAAGAGTTCTTTCTCTGACTTACGAGGGTCTGGATTGTTTATCCTGCTCGTTGTGTTATATTTCTCGGTGTGGTGGATCATCCGAAGGAGAAGACAAAGTAAGTAGCTGTGTGCGCTAAGCAGCATACAATTTCCACCAACTTTTTTTCTTTTTTTAAAAAAGTCTAATCTTCCTTGTCTTTTTGAAGGCATCATTGAAATGTTCCTAAATGGAGTGGTATGATGGCTTACAGGTGGAGCTTTCGCCTCACAATCAGAAGGCTGTGAGTTCGATCCTAGGTAGAGACAGATATTTCTCTCTCTGGGCACGTTGAGAATAGATCTGCTGGGAAAAAAACTCCGCACTGGCGACAGGAAAGGCATCTGGCCAGTAAATACTCAGCACCATTCAGTTGCCCAGTGTTCTGTCCCCGTCTCACACACGCACACAAACAGATAGCCAGGGGTTAAATAAAACTGGCAGACAACAAATTCTTTCGATAAGAGGATTGGCAGCAACCCAGTAGCTGCTTGCCAAGAACTTTACTCATAGAGGGAGGGGTTGTTCCTCCGACAGATAAACCCAAACAAGATACACACAGTTCAAGAATTGTCAAGTCCAGTCCGTATTAAATCCAACACAGATAACGTTGTTTCAAAGATACAATGTGACTCGCTAGTAGTTTGTTTTGTCCGTCACAGAGTCTGAATGGCCACCTCACTCCCTTTTATCCCCTGTGGGGTGTGGTCCAATGACTCACTTAATCTCTGGCACGCCTCCTTTTCTGTTGCGTGTGCCTGTCTCTCCGACGCTGGCGTGGATCCAGCCAAGACTTATCTCCATCACTGTCCAACTGCGAGGAGATACCTGGTTCCTGGCCAATCTCTTCTCCTTCAGGAGACACCTGAGGCATTGCCAGAGAGGAGGGTCCTGGAGAGGGAGGCCTGGCCAACTCCTCTCCTTCATGTTCGGAGCCTTCTTCCTCCGATAAGTCGGCCTCGGGGGTCGGAGTCACAACACCCAGACTCCACCCCACAATGGATTATGGGGTTGTTAGAAGAAGAAGATAGATAGATAGATTAAGTGGTGCGGTGCGGTGGCCTATAGATGGACCTCTTGCCAGCCTCACAATCAGGAGGCTGTGAGTTCAATCCTAGGTAGAGGCAGATATTTCTCTCTCTGGGCACGTTGAGAATATATCTGCCAAACAAAACTCCGCACTGGTGACAGGAAAGGCATCCGGCCAGAAAACACTCAGCTCCATTCAGTTGCCCTAATGCAAAGGATTATGGGGTGGGTAAAAGAAGATGATGATTGAAACGTTCCTAAATTTTATAGCTAATGTACCCATTTTTTAAAAAAAAAAATACCGAAACCAAGGTGTATTTTCAGATTTTTCAAGATTCAAAGATACCAATGAACGTATTATTAAAGGGGAAAATTCTGTTGCCACAGGACCCGGAACGAGTTCTAATTCTCATTTTTCTTGCAGAGCAAAAGGAACAGAAGCATGGAAATGCTCCATTGGTAAGTTCCTTTTTGCCTCTGAAAATTGGGTCACAGCAGCACCATAAGAATCAGAGTCAGAATAGAAGCTGGAAGGGACCTTGGAGGTCTTCTAGTCCAACCCCCTGCTCAAGCAGGTGATCCTATACCATTTCAAACAAGTGACTGTCCAGCCTCTTCTTAAAAACCTCCAGTGATGGAGCATCTACAACTTCTGGTGGCAAGTAGTTCCACTGGTTAATTGTTCTCACTGTTCAGAGATTTTTCCTTAATTCCAGGGTGCTTCTGTCCTTGATTAGTTTCCATCCATCGTTTCTTGTCTGCTGTATGGGTAGTCCTCGACTTACCACCATTATTTAGAGACCGTTCGAACTTACAACGACACTGAAAAAAAATGACTTAGGATCATTTTTCACACTTACGACCATTGAAGCATGCCCGTGGTCACGTGATCAAAATTCTTGGTAGCTGACTCATAATTATGACGGTTACCGAGTCCTGGGGTCACGTGATCCGCTTTTCCGACGAGCAAAGTCTATGGGATTCCCTTAACAACCGTATTCTTACCTTAACAACTGCAGTGATTCACTTAACAACGTTGTCAAGAAAGGTCGTAAAATGGGGCAAAACTCACTTAACAACTTAGCAAAGGAAAGTTTGGGCTGAATTGTGGCTGTAAGTTCGAGGGCTACCTGTACTTTAAATAAATAAATAAGCAAGCAAAGAAATAAATACATGAATATGCTGGAAATGTCAGCAGACACCTGGCTCGTATTAATGTATATTGGACAAAAATTCATATGTGGCTGGAAAAGATGCTACAACAACATATTGATTCGAAACCTGAAATATTCCTGTTGGGGATTTCACCAGAAATTTATAGCAAAGAAAACGTATATTTGATTATCCATGTAATAACTGCAGCTAGAATTGTATTCGCCCAAAATTGGAAAAGCGAAGAGACTCCTACAGAGAATGTGATCAGGAAAATATTAGAATGTGCAGAAATGAATAGGTTAACACTGGCAATTAGAGAGAAAGAACAAACCGAATATTATATTATATGGGAGCTATTTTATCGATGGTTAGAGAATAAATATGAAAATAGCACCAGCTGCCTGCAATTACTGCGAGTTCGAATCTCACCAGGCTCGAGGTTGACTCAGCCTTCCATCCTTCCGAGGTAGGTAAAATGAGGACCCGGATTGTGGGGGCAATAAGATGACTTTGTATAAAAAAAAAAAACACCGCTTGGGGGGGCCGAAAGCCCTACTAAGCAGGTATATACAAACGTATGAAGGCTATTGCTTAACGCATTGTAAGCTGCCCTTACAATGCGTCTCTGGAGAAAGGCGGCATATAAATCGAACCAATAAATAAATAAATAAATAAATAAACAAACAAACAAATAAAGAAATAAATAAGAAATAAAAGGAGATGAGTGAAATATAAAAAATGTATTAACAGAGTTAAATAAGTCAAGAAGAGGATTGTCATAGTATTAGATATTTAATGTATTGGTATTAAGTTAGGAATAGATAAAATAATGAAGATGGCTGTAAACTTTAACTGTTGTTGCACAAAACATTTGTACCCAGACGACACCCTGTTTAATGGAAGATGGATTGTTTGTACCCTGTTTTCCCCAAAATAAGACATTATCCCCTGATAATAAGCCCAATCGGGCTTTTGAGCGCATGGCAATAAGGCCAAGTGCTTATTTCAGGGTTCAAAAAAATATAAGACAGGGTCTTATTTTCGGGGAAACACGGTATTAAAATAAAATAAAAAAACTTTAAATAAATAAAAATAAATAAATACATAAATATTTATGCAGAGATATGAGTGATCTCCGACCTCCGGACTTTTCGTCGGGCCCTAAAAACTTACTTTTTTCAGTTAGCCGGTCTGTCTTGATTTTATAGTTGGTTTTAAAATTTTGATACGGATTTTATATTGACAAGTTTTAAATTACGGGCCAAATTTATGTAATTATTTTAAATCTATTGTTAACTGTAATGTTATGTATAAATGTTTTTATTTTGGCCGTTCACCGCCCTGAGTCCGAAAGGAGAAGGGCGGTATAGAAGTTCGATTAATAAATAAATAAATAAATAAATAAATAAATACATACATACATACATACATACATACATACATACATAAATATATAAATAAATTTAAATAAATTTATCCATGTAAATGGCCGTAAATGTGCTAAACACTGGACTCTAATCTCCAAACCCGAATTCAGTTTTTACTTAGAAATGAAATAAAACTTGATTTTAACTCTATTTTAAAAAAAATAAATTAGACACATAGGCTTTGTTAAAACATATATATTTTTTTTGGCTTGAACCGAAGGAAGAAGTAGATCCTCCAGCCGTCACTGTTTTCACGGTGGATTACGAAATGCTGGCATTCCCGGGAGGAACAAAGACGAAACCGGCGGCTTCTCCGAAACCCGTCCAGCGGGAACCCACGGAATACGCCACCATCGTCTTCCTCCCGAAGACTCCGGAGGCTGCAGAGGAGGAGGACTCCAAACAGACACCTTGCCCGGTCTGTGTGCAGCAACCTTGACCCGGCCAGTGGCTCCTTCTTTGTGGTTTCCAGGTTGCACATCTGGGCAGATGTTCCGAGGCCTTACCCCGAAAGCGACCGTGGGAGGCGAGAGCACCGAGTCATTCGGGGAAACCGGGCACGTCTAATACCGCGTCGGCTGGGAAACCACATCCTCTGAACGGCACACAAAGGAGCGAAGGTGGCTGTCTGGGGGTCAAGGGGAAGCACTCTGCGCGGGCGCAGAGGCAATCTCTCCCTAGGGCTGAAAAGAGAGAGAGGGTTTGCAAAGCAGGTCCTTCTCGCTTGGAGAGGAAGTCCTCGATTTACGGCCACAATTGTTAAGAGCCCGACGTTTCTGTTGCTGAGTGAATTTTGCCCCGTTGGACGACTCTTCCGGCCACCCTTGTTAAGCGGAATCCCTGCAGTTGTTAAATGAGGAACACGGTTGTTAAGTGAATCCGGCTTCCTCGTCGTCTTGCCTGGTCAGACGGTCGCAAAAGGGGATCGCGTGACACCCGGGACACTACGACTGTCATAAATATGAGTCAGTTGCCAAGCGGCTGAATTTCGATTATGTGATTGTGGGAATGCTGCAACAGCTGTAAGTGTGAAAAACGGTCGTAAATCACTTTTTTCAGAGCCGGTCACTAAACGAGAACTACTTGTATCATCAGGTGAAGAGGGTTAGACCCCCCCCTTATCTTTACAGAAGCAAAATAAAAATAGAAAACCAATAACAGAGAGACAGTTTGGTCTACTATTTAAGGCACCAGGCTAGAAAGCAGGAGACTGGGAGTTCTAGTCCCGCCTTAGGCACGAAAGGCGGCTGGATGACTTTGGGCCAATCACTAGGAGACGGTGAGTTCTAGTCCCGCCTTAGACATGAAAACTGACTTGATTTTAGGCCAATCACCAGGAGACGGTGAGTTTCTAGTCCAGCCTTAGGCATGAAAGCCAGATGGGTGACTTTGGGCCAATCACTAGGAGACGGTGAGTTCTAGTCCCGCCTTAGGCATGAAAGGCGGCTGGGTGACTTTGGGCCAATCACTAGGAGACGGTGAGTTCTAGTCCCGCCTTAGGCATGAAAGGCGGCTGGGTGACTTTGGGCCAATCACTAGGAGACAGTGAGTTCTAGTCCCGCCTTAGGCATGAAAACTGACTTGATTTTAGGCCAATCACCAGGAGACGGTGAGTTCTAGTCCAGCCTTAGGCATGAAAGCCAGATGGGTGACTTTGGGCAATCACTAGGAAATTGGGAGTTCTAGTCCCGCTTTAGGCATGAAAACTGACTTGATTTTAGGCCAATCACCAGGAGACAGTGAGTTCTAGTCCAGCCTTAGACACGAAAGCCAGATGGGTGACTTTGGGCCAATCACTAGGAGATGGTGAGTTCTAGTCCAGCCTTAGGTACGAAAGCCAGATGGGTGACTTTGGGCCAATCACTAGGAGATGGTGAGTTCTAGTCCAGCCTTAGGCATGAAAAGCAGCTGGGTGACTTTGGGCCAATCACCAGGAGACGGTGAGTTCTAGTCCTGCCTTAGGCACGAAAGACGGCTGGGTGACTTTGGGCCAATCACCAGGAGACAGTGAGTTCTAGTCCCGCCTTAAGCATGAAAGCTCACTGGGTGACTTAGGGCCAATCACTAGGAGACGGTGAGTTCTAGTCCCACCTTAGGCATAAAAAGCGGCTGGGTGACTTTGGGCCAATCACTAGGAGACAGTGAGTTCTAGTCCCGCCTTAGCCACGAAAGCCGGCTGGGTGACTTGGATAGCATTCATTCACCGCCTGGAGTTATTTCTAAAAATAAGAAAGGCGGGGATACAAAACAAATAAATAAACATAACAACAACAACACCACAAACTCAAGGACAGTCGAGACGCCAATTGTAACGTTCTGGTGCTGTTTTCGCAGCGCCGGGTGCGAATCCTGACGGGTTCGATGGAAAATTCAGTTAGCCCGCTCCTCCACTGCCTTTCAGCCTTTTTTTTTTTTTTAGCAGCTTCAGAAGTTTCTGTGCAAAACCACCGTGGGCAGTTTGGTGATTTTTTTAAATCTCTCTTTGGGGCCGATCAAACCGATAACCGTGGCGGAAAGCGCTGGCGGAGAGGAAGGCAGCGGCCGTTGGCCAACCACATGTGGGCAGGTGAAAGATCTGATTTCCACACCCCACAAACCATCCTCTCTTGGCTGCTGGGCCTGCCCGAAATAATTGGCAGTTAGGGGACTGGAGGCTAAAACATACGAAGAACGGTTGCAGGAACTGGGTATGTCTTGTTTAATGAAAAGAAGGACTAGAAGAGACAGGATAGCAGCCTTCCAATATCTCAGGGGCTGCCCCAAAGAAGAGGCGGTCAAGCTATTCTTCAAAGCCCCTGAGGGCAGGACAAGAAGCAGCGGATGGAAACTCATCAAGGAGAGAAGCAACCTGGAACTAAGGAGGAATTTCCTGACATTGAGAACAATTAACCCGTGGAACGACTTGCCACCGGAAGTTGTGAATGCTCCAGCGCTGGGAGTTTTAAAGAAGAGATTGGATAGCCATTTGTCAGAAATGGGATGGGGCAGGGATGGCGAACATTTTTGCCGTCGCGTGCCAAAAGTGAGGGTCGCGCAGGGGGGGGGTCGCGTGCGTGCCCAGACCCATATTTCAGTGTGCCTTGCCCCCCCCTGCGTATGCGTGTGCAACACCCCCCGTGCTCCCTCCGCTTTTGGCACGTGATGGCATGGTGGGCCCGGTAGGCCCGTTTTGACACTCCCCAGGCACCAGAGGTTTCTTGGAGCCTGGGGAGGGCGAAAATGGCCTTCCTGACCCCCCTCGGAGGCCCTCCGGAGGCCGGAAATGGCCCATTTGCCGTGCCCACCGATATGGCTCTGCGTGGCACCTGTAGGTTTGCCGTCACGGCTAGTCCAACCCCCTGAGCAGGGGGTTGGACTAGAAGACCTCCATGGTCCCTTCCAACTCTGCTATTATTCTATTCTATTCTATTCTATTCTATTCTATTCTATTCTATTCTATTCTATTCTATTCTATTCTATTTCTTCATTCCTTCTATTCTATTCTATTCTATTCTATTCTATTCTATTCTATTCTATTCTATTCTATTCTATTCTATTCTAGTTGTTCTTCGGTGCAACCGAAATAAGTTGGTTTTCCTTCGCTTGCCAAGGAGGGCCTGAGCTGTCATTAACCCACAACGAGCAAGGATGCTTGTCCTAACCTGGTTTATCCCGTGGATGTGATTATGTTTGCGTGACCTACGATTGAGCCCCCAAATTCCATTCCTAAGCAAGGCAGTTGTTCAGTGAGTAGCAGCCCCTTTTATGACCTTTATTTTCCCATGGTTGTTAAGTGAACCACTACAGTTGTTGAGTGAGTAACCCAGTTGTTAAGTGAATCTGGCAGGGCCCACCTGCAGGTCGCAACTACCGGTTTATTCATTTATTATTTATTAGTCCAATTTATATGCCACCCTTCTCCGTAGACTCAGGGCGGCTTACAATGCATTATAGCAATAGCCTGCATACTTTTTTGTATATACCTGCTTATTAGGGCTTTCGCCCCCCCCAAGCGGTGTTGTTCTATACAAAGCTGGCTTATTGCCCCCACAATCTGGGCCCTCAATTTACCTACCTCGAAAGGATGGAAGGCTGAGTCAACCTTGAGCCTGGTGAGATTTGAACTCGCACTAATTGCAGGCAGCTGGCAGCTAAGTGCTAGCACTTTACAGCACTTAGTCCGCTGCACCACCGAGGCTCTTCATTTGCCCGAACCAGTCTGAACTAGCAGCAGTGGACACGTGTGTCACCACCAGCTACTCTTCTGGTATCCGGCGTGCATGCCAGCTGGTCTTCGTGGGTGCCGGAAAACGGCCTGAAAATGGCCAAAAATCAGGCCGTTTTTTTGGGCTGTTTCCAGGCCTTTTTACGGCCATTTTTCGGGCTGTTTTTGGATCAAAAACGGCCCAAAAAACAGCCAGGAAAACGACCTAGAAAACAGTCAAAAAATGCCCAAAAAAACAGGCATGTGCACCGGCCAGTTGGTCTTCGGTTCCCCATCCAGAGAGGGGCCATTCAGCATCCACGTGTGCTTTGCTTCCCAAATCGACTCCTTGTCCTCCGTTGTTCTCCTCTCCTAACTGCTCTGCACATAGGTGCATCTGGAACAGGCCCCAGCTGTTCTTCCTCCTCCTCACCTATCTCAGCCTACAAACGCAGCTGCCTCTCCAGTGGCTGGGAAATATCGGACGGCCCCGGCTCCATCTCTGCTTCTGTTCTGTCCCCGTCCCACACGCACACACACCAACAGACGTTCAAGAGTTAAAGACCAAACCAGCCGGCAAAATCCTTTTCCTTATGATAACAGAACTTGGCAACAACCTAGTGGCTGCCTGCCAAGAGTTTATTACTTACGAAGAGGAGAGATAACTTCTCCCCGCTTCTGGTACATCAAAAGAAACAGCTCAATAATTACGGAGTCAATCAAGTCCAGAGATAATCCAGCAAAGTCTATAGCAAAAAGTCCGGCAATGCAGAATGGCGTGGAAGCTTTCAGCTTTGTTCGTCACAAGGTTTGACTGGCCACCACGCTCCCTTTTATATCCTGTGGGGTGTGGTCCAGTGACTCAGCCTAACCTCGGGCACGCCTTTTCTTCTGTTGTGTGTGCTTATCTCTGTGATGCTGGCGTGGATCCAGCCAAGACTCATCTCCCTCATCACTGTCCATCTGTGGCTGCGTGGACGTGCTTGGCCCCGGCCCGATCTCTTGCCCTTCAGCGGACACCAGAGGCATTGCCAGAGAGGAGGGTCCTGGAGAGGGAGGCATGCCAACTCTTCTCCTTCACTCTTGGAGTCCTCTCCTGCCGATGACACAGGCTCAGGTAACGGAGCCACAACAGCTTCCGATGCAGAGTGTCCATCAGAGCCTTCCCCAGACTCCAGAACTGGCCCAAGTTCCTCCCCAACCTCCTCATCGTCCGAGTCTGCTGCCAGCGGGCCCCAACACTACAAGGCTGCATTTGCACCATGTTTCGAACCTGGTTGGCTTGAAGCTTGGACTGTGCATGAGGTTTGGGCTTAACATTTTGTGTGAACTCAACCCTTTGGGTTAGTCTATAGCTCAGTCTACATGGCTAACTCAGAAAAATGTGTTTATTCAAAAAAAACCCCAGATCACATACAGTATATTGTGCGTGAACACAGACTGCTGTCTGGTTTGGCTTTTCCCAACGCAGGTAGTCCTCAACTTACGACCACGACGGAGCCCAACATTTATGTTGCTAAGTGAGAAATTCGAGTTTTGCCCCACTTTACGACTTTTCTCGCCACGTTTGTTAAGCGAATCTCTGCCGTTGTTAAATTAGTGACACGGTTGTTAAGTGAATCCGGTTTCTCCATTGACGCTGCCCGTTGGGAAGGTCGCAAAAGGGGATTGCGTGATCCCCGGGGGGTCATAAATGTGAGTCACTTGCCAAGTATCCGGATGTAAATCCACGTGACTACGGGGACGCTGCAACCGTCACAAGTGTGAAAAACGCCCCTAAGTCACTTTTTTCAGTCCCATTTAGTGACTTTGAATGGTCACTAAATGAACTGTTGTAAGTCAAGGACTACCTGTATAATGTCTCCCAGGTATGTGGGACGTTCCAAGGATTTTTGGGATTTCTGGAGGTTGGAATCCAAAGGGAGGCTCGGAAAAGTGAATGGCAACACTTCATCATCTTCGGAGGTGTCAGCCTGTCAATCTGAGATGTTGACGGCTTCTGACTGGTAACCAGTTTCGTGACCAAGTCCCAAGTCTTTCATGGGCCCAGCTGGGGGCTCACAAGCCCCCAGGAATATATTTTTCCTGAGATTTTTCTTGGGTCCTGATTATTCCGTCCTTCCCCAAGGATGAGCCGTGGCTGAAGACGTCCTGTGGTTTTTATTTAAAAATTCACATTTCTACCCTTAAATCGGTTTAGCTTTGTGTCCTTGGTTCTGAGTTTGGGACAGCCGGATCCTGGCTTGGATCAGATCTTCTTGACATCCCCAAGAGAGGAAGAAAGGAAGAGAGGAAGAAGAGATGAAGGAAGGAAGGGGAAAGGAAGAAAGAAAGGATATGGGAATGAGAGGAAGGGAGGGAGGAAGAAAAGAAGGAAGGGAAGGAAGGAAGGAAAACAAAGGAGGGAATGGGAGAAAGGAAGGTGGGAGGGAGAAAGAAGGGAGGGAGGGAGAGAGGGAGATAGGAAAGAGATGGGAATGAGAAGAAGGAGGAAGGAAGGAAGAAAAACAGAGAGGGAGAGGGAGGGAAGGAAGGAAGGGAGAGGAAGGGAGGAAAGCAGAGAGAGGGAGGGGGAGAGGGAGAGAGGGAGGGAAGGAAGGAAGAAAGAAAGAAAAAGAAAGGAAAGGAAGGAAGAGAGGAAGAAAAGAAGGAAGGGAAGGAAAGAAAGAAAACAAAGGAGGGAATGGGAGAAAGGAAGATGAGAGGGAGAAGGAAGGGAGAGAGGGAGGGAGGTAGGAAAGAGATGGGAATGAGAAGAAGGAGGAAGGAAGGAAGAAAAACAGAGAGGGAGAGGGAGGGAAGGAAGGAAGAAAAAAAGGGAAGGAAGGAAGGGAGGAAGAAAAGAAGGAAGGAAAGGAAAGAAGGAAAACAAAGGAGGGAATGGGAGTGGGAGAAAGGAAGGTAAGAGGGAGAAGGAAGGGAGGGAGGGAGAGAGAGAGATAGGAAAGAGATGGGAATGAGAAGAAGTAGGAAAGAAGGAAGGAAGAAAAGCAGAGAAAGAGGGAAAGGGAGGGAAGGAAGGAAGGGAGAGGAAGGGAGGAAAGCAGAGAGAGAGGGAGGGGGAGAGGGAAAGAAGGAGGGAAGGAAGAAAGGAAGAAAGAAAAGGAAGGAAGGAAGGATATGGGAATGAGAGGAAGGGAGGGAGGAAGAAAAGGAAGGGAAGGAAGGAAAACAGGAGGGAGAAAGGAAGGTGAGGGAGAAAGAAGGGAGGGAGGGAGGGAGGTAGGAAAGAGATGGGAATGAGGAAGAAGGAAGGAAGAAAAGCAGAGAGGGAGAGGGAGGGAAGGGAGGAAGGAAGGAAAGGAAGAAAAGGAAGGAAGGAAGGAAGGAAGGAAGGAAGGAAGGAAGGAAGGAAGGAAGGAAGGAAAGAAAGCTCTTCAAAGGTGAGGCTTCAGCCTTGCATCTGGGCCACTTTCCTTATCCAAGGGACGGACAAGAGGACGTTTGAATAGACCCCATAGCGGTTTTGCAAGCCGCATCCGTCGCCCCACGACACGGATCCCAGGAGTTGCCATTGGCCAGTCCGGTTGCTCCAAGCCACCATGGGACCCCCCGAGTCCCCACTGCAAGAGTCTTTTCCCCCTGAGAGAGAGAGAGAGAGAGAGAAAGAGGGTTAAATACGAGCCAGTTGCCCAGGGTCCAAATTCTGATCATGTGACCATGGGGAGACAGCAAGGGTCGTAAGTGTGATAAACGGTCATAAATCACTTTTTTCAGTGCGGTTGTAACTTCGAACAGTCACTAAACAAACGGCTGTAAATCAAGGACTCCCTGTATCCTACCAGCTCTTTGCTCTGACCCAGAGTCTGGGTCTCTCTAGGACCCATCAAATAGAGATGGATCAAAAGAGCCTTGGTAGTACAGTGGTCTAAGGCACCCTGTTATTAAGCTGGTTATTAAGACCAGATGCCTGCAATTTCTGCAGGTTCGAATCTCGCCAGGCTCAAGGTCGACTCAGCCTTCCATCCTTTCTAAGGTAGATAAATTGAGGACCCAGTTTGTGGGGGCAATAAGCTGACTTTGTATGAATATACAAAAGGATGAAGGCTATTGCTTAGCGCATTGTAAGCCGCCCTGAGTCTCCGGAGAAGGGCGGCATATAAATCAAATTAAAAAAAAAAAAAGATGCCGGGGGACCTCATGTGATTCTGGGGGGGTAACCCCTTTCCCCCCCCCCATCCATTTACCTTCTTCCTCTCCGGCACAAATCATATCCGTCGTGATGATTTTCTGCAGCTTGGAGTAGGCTTCCTTGCACACTTCGTGGTCGATCAGAGGGATTTCAATCTGCGGGACAAAAAAACAGAACCAACAGCTGATTTTGTGGGGAATTCTGGGCGTTGAATCCACACTTCTTCTTCTTTTTTTAAAAAAACACTTTATTAAACTTTTATTACATTAAAAACATAAAACATCATATCACTCAATAACAGCTATTTGTGGTGGTTTTTCTTGTGACAGCAATTCGTGCGTTATTTACAAAAATTAAATTGTGCGTATTTACATTCTTATTTTATCTATTACTTACACTTAATAACTATCTATCTTTAATCTGTCTCCGTTCTATCCCGTTATACCACTCTTCCCACACATTGTAAAATATCGATGCCTCTTTATCTTTTAAACTCAGCGTAAATTAAAGATTGGCTACAGGAAATTACTAACGAACAATTAGATTTAGAACCGGAACTCTTTCTATTTGGGATCTTCAATATATATATATGTGTGTGTGTGTGTGTGTGTGTGTGTGTGTGTGTGTGTGTGTGTGTAGGGCACGAAATATCTAGTACTACACACATTAACCACAGCCAGGATTGCTGTCAGACTTCGATGCTATCTCAAAATAAATGAATTTCCAAACTGCCAATCTTTAAGGAAATCTTTTCTTTAATTGAGCACAGCCACCGGATCATGACTCGATGCGGACAAGACTGACCTTTTCCCCCCTAATCCCTCCCTTTCCGATCCCCAAATCTCTGCTTCTCATTGGCTATCTTCCAAGTCATTCTCCAGACTTCTTGTCTCGTCATTTCCCAGGAATGTCTCCCCCCTCCTCATTTCCACCACAACCCGGCTTCAAAGGGATTTAGCAGGCAAAAGTTCAGAGCTTATCTCTCTCCTCTCTATGCCAGCGCTGAGGCGCTGACAATTGCCTTCGCTCAATGATGGAAACACCCACAGAGAAACTTGTCATACAAAAGGTCATGAATTGCGCAGAAATGGACAAATTAACGCTGAAGTCCACACTTCTTAAGGTGCTCCAGTTTGGCCTGAAGTTGTCTGAAGGTTCTTCTTTTCAAACTTTCATCCCTTTTATCTCGTCTAATATTTCTATTTAAAACTTCTAAGGTCAAGAAAAACAACAATGGCAAAAAGGGACATCCTTGTCTAGTACCTTTCATTACGCTGATCTTTTCTGTCATATCCCCATTTATCGTTATCTTAGCGAATTGTCTATTATATATTGTTTTTATAATATTTATGAATCTCTGCCCAAAATCCATTCTCTGTAGTTGTTTTATCATGAACTGCCAACTCACATTATCAAAGGCCTTTTGGGCATCCGAAAACATCAATGCCATCTGTTATCCTGGATGATTCTCATAATACTCCAAAGTGTTCAAAAATCATCCTCATATTGTCGTTAATTTGTCCTTTTGGTCAACATCCATTTTGGTCTGCGTGTACAACTGGACAATTTTTTTGTGAGCTCGAGGCTGAGCCAAGCAGCTTCATCACTCTGAGCAAGCCAGTTAGGGAGAGAGTTGCTGGAAAAGGTAGCAACTCCTGCTATACTAATCTCAGGGGTTTCCTCCCCAATAATAAGTTGCATCATGTCAATGAAGATTCTCAGTCATCCAGGTAAAACTGTCTGAATGTTGTCTGAAGGTTGAAATGTGGGAACTGGACTAACTTTGTTGTTAGTTTGAGAGATGTTTCGCTGCCCTTCCGCTCTCTGTTGGCACATGCAGTAAAAGTAAAAAACTCCTGGGATATTATTTTATTTTTTTACCAAGGGTATAATTTTTCTGATAGATCCATATAGGTACAGACAGAAGAAGTGGACAATCAACTAAATATGAGCCAGCAGTGTGTGGCGGTAGCCAAAAAAGCCAACGCAATCTTAAATTGCATAAGTAGAGGGATACACTCAAGATCAAGGGAAGTACTAATACCACTCTATAAAGCCCTAGTAAGGCCACACCTAGAATCCTGCATCCAGTTTTGGCCACCACACTATAAAAAAAATGTGGAGACTCTAGAAAAAGTGCAGAGAAGAGCAACTAAGAGGATTTAGGGAACTGGAGACTAAAACATACGATGAACGGTTGCAGGAACTGGGCCTGGCTGGTCTAGTGAAGAGAAGGACCAGGGGAGACAGGAGAGCATCTTCCAATATTTGAGGGGCTGCCACAGAGAGGAGGGAGGGGGTCAAGCTATTCTCCAAAGCACCCGAAGGCCAGAGAAGGAATAATGGATAGAAACAGAACAAGGAGAGATTCAACCTGGAAATAAGGAGGAATTTTTCTGACCGTGAGAACAATCAACCCATGGAACAGAAGTTGCCTTCGGAAGTTGTGGGAGCTTCATCACTGGAGGCTTTCAAGAAGAGACTGGACTGCCATCTGTCAGAAATGTTATGGAGATTCTCGGTCATCCAGGTCATGCACCAAAGGTGCTTTTTCAAGAGGCAACTGGACTTTCTCGTTTTTCTTTGATCCTTCCATTTCCCAACCATCCAGTCAGAGCTGAAGAAGCTCCTTGGATGAGAAGCAAAACGTCTTCCAGTTGCCTCTTGAAAGAGCACCTGGATGATGGAGAATTTCCAGAGACGAGTAGAGGTGTGTTTACAAGTCAGCCTTGAAAGTCTAACTGGCTTGTTCTGACTGATGAAATGAGTCCAGCAAAACATTCATTCAATTGCCATCATTCAACCTTCATTCAACCTTCCAACAGCTTTGCCTGGATGATTGACAATCTTCATCGACATGCTGTTCGTAATGATTTCCAAATGTGGTTATTTTCACTTTATGCTGGGATTTCCACATCCTGGATCCCGCCTCAAAAGAGCGCCAGGGTACAATGTCTGTACCCTCTAAAGAGAATATGTATAAAATGTTTTACAGGTGGCATCTCCCACCTGCCAGATTGGCAAAGATGTTTCCAAATACTTCCCCGCTATGTTAGAAATGTAAACATCAAAAAAGGAACTTATTATCACATGTGGTGGTCCTGTCAGAAGGCAAAACAATTTTGGCAAACAATTAAAATACAAATAGAAGAAATTATAAATCAACAAATAGAAATGAGGCCAGAAACTTTCTTATTTGGGAATAATTACTGGGCCATATGAAAAAGAAATAAGATACTTAATTATTCACATATTGACAGCAGCACGAATAGTTTTCGCCCCAAACTGGAAAAACAATGACATACCATCAGAAGACAAGGTGATTAGAAAAATTATGGAATGTGCGGAAATGGATAAGCTCACAAAAGAGATACAAGAAAAAGATGAAACGGGTTATTACTTAGTCTGGGAGAAATGGTATAAATGGCTGGAGGAGAAAGGGGAATAAAAAAGGAACAAAAGAAAACTAAACACTGGTTAAATTAGGTGGAAAAATATGGAAATAAATGGGAAGCTATACATTGTGGAAAGGAAACTAGGTACCTGTTTATGTTAAAAGTAAATAAAATATTTAGATTAAGAGAATATAAATATATGATTTACTAGGAATATATGTATAAGAGATAGATTAAGATAAGAAAGAGAAAGTGTATAAATACAGATTACTGATGCGAAGATGTTGAAAAGAAGATGTAAATATCTATTTTTGTTTGTTTGTTTTGTTTGTAGTTTTGTTTATTTGTTTGTTTGCTCGTATTAAAAAAAAAGTTCAATAAAAATTATTTAAAAAACAAAACAAAACAAAAGAGCGCCAGGTTGGAGATGGCGGTTTGAAGGGGTGGGGAGACCCCCGTTGCCTTGGCTGATGCCTCAAAGAGCCTCTCCTTCCCCAAGTAGAGATCAATCCTAACAACCTTGGAGACCCTAGATCAGGGAAAAGGGTGATTATCAAGGAAGGATATTGAGGAGCGAGTCCCGGGGGGGGGAGGATCCCTCTCCCTGCCACTGAGAGATCAATAAATCGATCGATAGATCATAAGATCGATGTGAGCGGCTACGTCACCTCCATCAAGGCGTCTGGGAGGCGTTGCAGCAACTGTTTCCCCCATCCGCTGACGATGACCATGGCACCTGGGGGGAAGGCAAAGAGACAAGAGGTATGACAACAGGCAGTCCTCGACTTACGACCACGATGGAGGCCAACATTTCCATCGCTAAGCGAGACACTCGTTAAGTGAGCTTTGCCCCATCTTACGACCTTCCTTGCTACAGTTGCTAAGGGAATCTGTTCTGCCCCAGCTACAGACCCCCGAAGAACGCAGCACACACACAAAGTCTGTACAAACCTTAGTTTACTAAATTAAACCAGTCTTTTTCAAACAAAGGCTGTTAATTAACTTTCTTAACAGCCTACAACAGTGATGGCTAACCTTTTTGCCGTCGTGTGCCAAAAGCAGGAGGAGCACAGGCCGGTCACGTACATGCGTGCCCACATCCATAATTCAATGTACCCTCTCCCTGCTTTTGGCACGCGATGGCACGGTGGGCACGTTAGGCCTGTTTTTTGCCCTCCCCAGGCTCGAGAGGCTTTCTTGGAGCCTGGGGAGGGTGAAAATGGCCTTCCCCACCCGCCAGAGGCCTTCCGGAAGCCGGAAATGGCCCATTTCCTGACTTCTGGTGGGACCGGAAGGCCCATTTTTCACCCTCCCCAGGCTCCAGAGGCTTTCTAGGAACCTGGGGAGGGCATAAACAGCCTTCCCCACCCCCTGGAGGCTGGAAACGGCCAGTTTCCTGACTTCCGGTGGGCTCGAAAATCAGCTGGCCAGCGCGTGAATATGCGCTGGAGCTGAGCTAGGGTAACGCTCGTGTGCCAACAGATATGGCCCCGCGTGCCACAAGTTCTCCATCATGGGCCTACAAGAATCCAAAGAATAATCGTAATCTTACTAGGATTGGCAGAATGCCCAGAAGCAATTTGCAGGAAACGGATAAGAGAACTAAGATCCGGACGCGAAGGAGAGTGAACGAAGTTGTTCCCTGCAAATTGCCTCAGTCGTCGTCCGTCCTTAAATTGGAGTTGTTAGTAACATGGTCGTTAAGTGAATCTGGCTTCCCCCTTGACTTTCCTTGTCGGAAGGTCACAAAAGAGGATCACGTGATCACAATAATCTAATCTCCATCCATCCATCCACCCATCCTTGGTCCTTGGTGCTCCCTGAGCTTGGTGGTTTCCTTGCAGACATTTCATGACCCAACTAGGTAACATCATCTGTGATAGATGGCAGTAAGATTTGCTCTATTTGCTATTGTGCATAAACAGGGAGCAACCCCCTTTCCCTTCTAGTACTGATGATGTTCCATAGTTGGGTCGTTTAACGTCTGCAAGAAAACAACCAAGCAGCACCAAGGGCCCTACAGTTCTCCTCCTCCTCCTCCTCCTCCTCCCCTCCTCCTCCTCCTCCTCCTCCTCCTCTTCACAAACCCTTCTCCCTTCTAGCCCTGATGAGGTTACCTATTTGATCATGAAACGTCTCCAAGGAAACCACCCAGCTCGGAGTCTGTAGAGATTCTCAATCCTCCAGGTCATGGTTTGCCCCAAAAGTGCTTTTTTTTTTCAAGCCAACTCGACTTTCTTGTTTTTTCTTTTATACTAAAGACACTTTCTCATCTCACAAAAGAGCTTCTTCAGCTCAGACGGGATGGTGGGAAAGGAAGGATTGATATTCCTTACAGACAAAGCTGTCATTTGCATCTTTTTAGGAACCTACAGGAACCATTTGCACCACTCAGGTGGCCCTGAGGGCACAGAGAAACCTCCAAGACTTTCTAAAAGGATGCAAATGACCAGCTGCCTGCAAGGAGTATCAATCCTTCCCTTCCTCACCATCCGGTCAGAGCTGAAGAAGCTCCTTGGATGAGAAGCAAAATGTCTTCAAAAGAAAAAAAGAAAGAAAGTCCAGTTGCCTCTTGAAAAAGCATCTTTGGGACACTAATCTCAGACCCCGTTCCCCCCTCCTCCTCCTCCTCCTCCTCCTCCTCCTCCTCCTCCTCCTCTTCTCTTCTCCTCCTCCTCCCAAACCCTCCTCCCTTCTAGCACTGATGATGTTACCTAGTTGGGTCATGAAACGTTTGCAAGAAAACCACCAAACTCAGAGAGCACCAAGGACCCCACAGTTCTCCTCCTCCTCCTCTCCTCCACAAACCCTTCTAGCACTGATGACTGTTCTGTCCCCCGTCCTCACACAGACAAATGCAGTACACGCCTGCCAATAATTTATTGTATAAACAGACCAGAATTCCTGGCAGACGAGAGTTCTTGGCAGCTAAGTGTAAAAACGCCTGCCCAGTCCAATTAGTACTCCCAAAAAGCAGGAGAGGGCCTTATCTGCAGTCCGTTTCCAGAGCGACAAATTATCCACAAGAGTTTAGTCCAAAATATATCTGAGCCGAAGTGCAGGATTCACAATGTGACTCTTTAGAGTTTAAACTTTTATCAGTCACAAAGCCTGCCGAGCAATCACGCCCCTTTTATCCCTTGTGGGGCGTGGCTCAGTGACTCAGCTCAATCCCTGGCCCTCCCACGCCTCTTCCTTTGCTGCGCACGCTTCTCTCTCCGACGCTGCCTGGGATCAAGCCAGGATTCATCATTATCACTCTATCAATGGGTGCTCCGAAATGCCTTCCTCCTGGCCTTCAGATGGAACCTGAGGCATTGCCAGAGAGGAGGGTCCTGGAGAGGGAGGCCTTGTCAGTTCCTCCCCCTCACCTTCTGAGTCCTCTTCCTTTATGAGGACGGGCTCGGGAGTCGGAGTCACAACAGATGACGTTACCTATTTGGGTCATGAAACGTTTGCAAGAAAACCACCAAATTCAGACAGCACCCAGGACCCCACAGTACATGTCAACCTTGCTTCACAAGATTGCGAGATAACCGATAAGCCATTTGCAAAGATTAGGCCAGTATTTCTCAGACGTGGCCGCTTTACGAGAGACGTGGACTTCAACTCCCAGAATTCCCCAGCCAGCCAGCCAGACAGACTACCCCCTATCCTCACCTTTTGGGTGCGATCCATCTGGGAAGCAAATAGGCATGACGTAATTGTTCAGCGTTGCTTCTCCGGAGAGTTTGACCACGGCGATGTCGTACTCAAAGGTGGCCGCCTTGTAGGAAGGGTGGATGTGGATGGACTGAGGGTGGAGGGTTTGCTCCGTGTCGTCTCGCCTCTGAGTTTGGTGCTTCCCTGTTGGAATTATTAGAATTAAAGAGCCTTGGTGGCGCAGCGGACTAAAGCGCTGTTAAGTAGCACTTAGCTGCCAACTGCCTGCAATTACTGCGAGTTCGAATCTCACCAGGCTCAAGGTTGACTCAGCCTTCCATCCTTCCGAGGTAGGTAAAATGAGGACCCGGATTGTGGGGGCAATAAACTGACTTTGTATAAAAAAGAACACCGTGGGGGGGGGGCGAAAGCCCTACTAAGCGGGTATATACAAAAGTATGAAGGCTGTTGCTTAACGCATTGTAAGCCGTCCTGAGTCTCCAGAGAAGGGCGGCATATATAAATCGAACCAATAAATAAATTGGAGCCTGGTGGCGCGGCAGACTAAAGCACTGTTATTAACAGTTATTAACATCTGCTGCCTGCAATTACTGCAAGTTCTAATCTCACCAGGCTCAAGGTCGACTCAGCCTTCCATCCTTTCTAAGGTAGGTAAAATGAGGACCCAGATTGTGGGGGCAATAAGCTGACTTTGTATAAAAATATACAAAAAGTATGAAGGCTATTGCTTAACGCATTGTAAGCCTGAGTCTCCGGAGAAGGGCAGCATACAAATTAAATTAAATAAATAAATTAAATTAAATTAAATTAAATTAAATTAAATTAAATTAAATTAAATTAAATTAAATTAAATTAAATTAAATTAAATTAAATTAAATTAAATTAATAAATTAGAATCACAGAATTGGAAGGGACCTTGGAGTCTTCTAGTCCAACCCCCTGCTTAGGCAGGAAAACCCTATCCCGTTTCAGACAAATGGTTGTCCAATCTCTTCTTAAAAACGTCCAGTGTTGGAGCATTGACAACTTGGGAGAGGGGGTTGGAAGAAGAATAGCAGCAGAATTGAGTCAGAAGGGACCTTGGAGGTCATCTAGTCCGACCCCCTGCTCAGGCAGGAGATCCAATACCATTTCAGACAGGTGGCTGCCCAGTCTCTTCTGAAAAGCCTCCAATGATGGCGCACCCACAACTTCTAGTGGCAAGTCGTTCCACTGGTTAATTGTCCTCACTGTCAGGAAGTTTCTCCTTAGTTCCAGGTTGCTTCTCTCCTTGATGAGTTTCCATCACCCCGAATTCAGGACCTGAATCTTGGTGGCTCAGCAAGGCGATTGTTGGGCCTGATTTTACTATCCTTTTTTTTTTATCACGGTTGTTAAGTGAATCTCGCTCCCCTCCCTTGACTTCGCTTATTAGAAGCCCCCCCCTGGAAATGGGGATCACATGACCCCAGGGCCCTGCGACCATCATAAATATGTGCCAGATACCAAGCATCACAATTTTGATCCTAAGGATGCTGAGATGGTCATAACTGCGAGGACTGTTTGCCAGTGACTTTCTTCAGTGCCATGGAAAGGAGGCTGAGACGGTCATAACTGTGAGGACTGGTTGCCAATGACCTTCTTCAGTGCCATGGAAAGGAGGCTGAGACGGTCGTAACTGCGAGGACCGATTGCCAGTGACTTTCTTCAGTGCCATGGAAAGGAGGCTGAGATGGTCATAACTGTGAGGACCGGTTGCCAATGACCTTCTTCAGTGCCATGGAAAGGAGGCTGAGACGGTCATAACTGTGAGGACCGGTTGCCAGTGACTTTCTTCAGTGCCATGGAAAGGAGGCTGAGACGGTCATAACTCGAGGACCGGTGGCCAGTGACTTTCTTTAGTGACGTGGAAAGGAGGCTGAGACGGTCATAACTGTGAGGACCGGTTGCCAGTGACTTTCTTCAGTGCCATGGAAAGGAGGCTGAGACGGTCGTAACTGTGAGGACCGGTTGCCAGTGACTTTCTTCAGTGCCATGGAAAGGAGGCCGAGATGGTCATAACTGCGAGGACCGGTGGCCAGCGACTTTCTTTTTTTAAAAAAAATGTTTTATTTATACATTTTTTTACTAAATATAAAAAATTCAATGTTGACATGAACAGTATGTTATCTGAGTACAGTTAATTTTGCAAATAATAATAATAATAGTAACAGTATTCCAAACATTTTGAGAAATAGTAATAATAATAATAGCAACAATAGTATTCGTAACATAATAATCACATAATAATAATAATAATATTTGCAATTTCAATCAACCTTCCTTATATAATTAATCATACTCCTAAACTTTTAAAATTCTAACTTCTGTTTCTGTTAGTTAGCCATTGATAAAATGAACCCCATGTTAAAAAATATTCTGTTTCTTCCTTCTCCTTAATTTTAAGTGTTGATCTATCCATTTCTGCACATTCTAGTAATTTTTTTAATTACACTTTCTTCTGTAGGGATTTCTTCGTTTTTCTAGTGTTGTGGAAACACAATTCTCGCCACAGTTAATATCTGTAAAATTAAATATGTATTTCCTTTATTGTACTCTTCTGGTAGAATACCCAACAAGAATATTTCTGGTTTTAGGTCTATATGTTGCTTTACCATTTTTTTCTAACCATGGATGTACCGTATTTTTGTCCAATATTTTTTTTGCCTTTGGGCATGTCCACCACATGTGATAATACGAACCCAGTGTCTGATTACATTTCCAACATTTGGCCGACATGTTAAGGGATTTTCTTCAATGCCATGAAACGGTAGTAAATCAAGGAGGACCTGCCAAAGTCCCTCTCCATCCTTGAGTTGCAAACCTGGTTTGTTTCAGAGCGACCGCTTACCCAAGATAACGGTGAAGGAAGACAGGCTGATCACATCCGTATTTCGGAAAACTGGATTTTCGGGATCCAGTTCCTCATGGAGACAGTGAGCGGCTGTCACAACCCACCGGTTGCCTGGAAAATACGAAACACAACATCTAGAGCAGTGGTGGGATTCAAATAATTTAACAACCGGTTCTCTGCCCTAATGACCAGCTGGGTAGGTGTGGCTCAGTGGTCATATGACCGTGTGGGCATGGCCAACTCAAGATCACTCACATCAATGGGCGCTTCGCCTTAGCTGTTACAATGTAACAAGGGTTAAGCAGAGAGGCAGTTTCTGTAAGCAGGGCAATAAAGATTAGGCTAGAAACACCAGCAGAATGTTTCCTTCCTGCCTTCCTTACAGGATTAGCCCTGTAAAGAACAAAATAAGATTTCTTCCAACATCCGGTTCTCCAAACTGCTTAGAAAATTAACAACCGGTTCTCCCGAATAGGTGCAAACTGGCTGAATCCCACCCCTGATCTAGAGCCGCCTTTCCCTTCTCTGGATCAGCAACCTTGCCCCCAATGAAACCCAATGAAATTTGGGGTTGCAAATCCGGTTTTTGAACCTCTCGGTGCTGTTTCTCCTATCCAGATCTCCGGGACAGGTCATCCTCGCCTTACGACCACAATTGAGCGCCACATTTCTGTTGTTAAGTGAGTTTTGCCCCATTTCATGACCTTCCTTGCCACCTTGTTAAGTGAATTAATTGAGCAGATGTTAAGTTAGTGACATGGTCGTTAAGTGAATCCGGCTTTCCCATTGCCTTGGCTGGGTGGAAGGTCGCAAAAGGGGATCAGGGACTCCGCAACCGTCATAAACCTGAAGGACACAGCCAGAGGGGAGATGCACACTACAGGTAGTCCTCAACTTACGACCAAAACTCAGCCCAAAAATTTCTGTCACTAAGCGAGACATTTGTTAAGGGAGTTTTGCCCTGTTTTACAAACTTGCTCGCCGCAGCTGTTAAGTGAATCACCGCAGATGTTAAGTGAGTCACACGGTTGTTAAGCGAATCCGGCTTCCCCGTTGACTTTGCTTGCCGGAAGGGGATCATGATGCGATCCCGGGATGCTGCAACCATCGTAAGTACGAGTCAGCGGCCAAGCATCTGAATTTTGATCAGGTGACCACGGGGCAGTTGCAACGGTCATAAGTGCGAACAACGCTCTTAATTAAGTCATTTTTCCCCCAGTGCCGTTGCAACTTTGAATGGTCACTAAATGAATGGTTTTAAGTCTAGGACTACCTGTATTTCAGCCTCCCCCCCCTTCCTGGTGTTCCCCCCCACCCTCTGTTCTGCTGGCGTAATATAACCTGGAAATCTCTTACCTATGAGGGACCCTCCGCAGAAGGGGCGTCCGTTCCTTTGGAGCATGGCAATCCATGGGGAAATTCCTCTCTGGGCATATCGTCCTTGGATGATCCGGGCCAGCGAGCTTCTGGAAAATTTGGGTTTTCCACAGACTGGGGAAGAATGGAAAAACCAAGATTTAAAATAATGTTTTTTTTTCCCAATTTCAGATGGGTGGACTTCAACTCCCAGAATTCCCCAGTCAACATGGCTGCTGGCAAGCTGACTAGGGAATTCTGGGAGCTGAAGTCCACACCTGCCTTAAAGTTACCAAGTTTGGAGAGAATTCTGATCCGGAACCAAAGGAAATGGCTGAAAAGAGGCATATGGATCGCAAGCAATTCCTTTTCGATCCAGTTTCAGCATGCCATCGTTTGGCAAGATTATGGGACGGCATCTCCACAGAATGGTCCTCGGCTTACGACCACAATTGGAACCACAATTTCCCTTGCTAAACAAGGAGATTGTTAAATAAGTTGCACCTGATTTTTCTGACCTTTTTTTTTTCTTTTTTGCCAGGGTTGCTATGCGAATGACTGAAGTCGTTAAATGAATCATACAGCCATTAAGCGAACCCAGCTTCCTCCAGTGGCTTTGCTTGTCAGAAGCCGGCTGGAAGGGACACAAATAGAGATCACGTGGCAGTCAAACCGTCGTAAATACACGGACCCATGGCTCGCATTTTAATCACGTGACTATAGGAATGCGGCAATGGTCGTAAGTGTGAGGACCAGCTGTAAATCACTATTTTCAGTACCGCGGACACTTTCAATGGTTGCTAAACGAATTATAAATCAAGAATTACCTGTAGGACAGACGTAACAATCACCCCAGCTGCTATTGCTAAGGGAAATTTGAATTTGCTTCAAGATCTTAAAGGCAATTTGGCGATACAAGATTGTTGTGTCAACGGTTTTATTCATTTTCTTATCAAAGGTTATTAATTACAAAAAGTTAGGAATGCTACAAAATATAAAACCCATAATAAATGGCATAATATCTCTTAAATATGTAACAGAGCTCAGAATATATACCAAACCTAAACACATTTTGGAATATAATATTTCTTTCAAATATGGCCTGATGTCATATATTTATCTATATATCTATAGTCACCAGTGGTGGGATTCAGCCAGTTCGCACCTATTCGGGAGAACCGGTTGTTAGAAGAAATCATATTTTGTTTTTTTTCCACTTTACAGGGCTAATCCTGTAAGGAAGGCAGGAAGGTAACATTCTGGTGGTGTCTCTAGTCTAGCCTAATCTTTATTGTCCTGCTTACAGAAACTGCCTCTCTGCTTAACTGTTATTACATTGTAACAGCTAAGGCGAAGCGCCCATAGACGTGAGTGATGTTGAATTGGTCACGCCCACACGGTCACATGACCACTGAGCCACGCCTACCCAGCTGGTCATTAGGGCAGAGAACCGGTTGTTAGATTATTTGAATCCCACCGCTGATAGTCACACAATCTTGGAAGCAGTCCAGGATACCAAAAAAGGAAAATTATTATACATAACGAAGTTGTACAGGTAGTCAACGTACGGCCACAATGGAGCCCAAATTCCCCGTTGCTAAGTGAAACAGACGTTAAGCGAATGTTACCACCTTTCTTGCCACCCTTGTTAAGTGAATCCTGGAACTTCCGGTTGGCAATTCGTGGTGAGACGGTGGAAGGAGAGCGATTGCTACTCTTCAACCCCGGATTTTTTCGTGTTTTGGGCATTGCGAACTAGAGAGGGAGTCTAGAGAGTGGCAAAGCGTGGGGCGAGTGCCTGCCGCTCGAACGGACGTCTCTGTTAACTCAGCGCGAAGATGTCTGTCATTTTGAAATGGCAGACTCGAGGCTGCGATAAACCAACAAAGAGCCGGGGAGAGAAGAAGATGGGAGCAGATAGTGTTAGGAGCGGAGTTTTGCCGGAACACCGTAAACCCACAGGAGTTTTGGAGAAGTGAGATCGGTCCTGTCAGAACAGAAATGAATCACTGCACTTCTTAAATGAGTAACATGGTCATTAAATGAATCTGGTTTCCCCGTTGACTTGGCTGGTCAGAAGGTTGCAAAAGGGGATTGCGGGACTCTGCAACTGTCATAAGTACATGCCAGTTGCCAAGCGTCTGAATTTTGATCACACGACGGTGGGAATGCTACAACGGTCGTAAGTGAGAAAAACGGTCCTAAGTCACTTTTTTCAGTGCCGTTCGAACTTCAAACAGTCACTAAGTGAATTTTTGTAAGTCGAGGACAGTTGGTAGATTGTTGATGTGCGTTTGTGTCAAAACAGACAAGATGCCAGCTTGTAACTGTGCATTCAAAGCCCCAGCCTCTTCTCTTTCATGAATTTATAGTAGTGCAAAAGGAATAAAAAAAAAAGATTAAACAATTCATCACAATGAATTAAAATGGTTATTCAAACAGCTCTAAACCTAAAGGAGAAATTCAGCTATTACTCGATCTATGACCACACTTGAACCCCAACATTTCTGTCGCTAAGTGAAACAGTGATGAAGTGAGCGGTCTTCCATTTTAGAACCTGTCCCGCCATGGTGGTTAAACGAATCCCTGCTGTTGTTAAGCGAACCACACGGTCGTTAAGCGAATCTGGCTTCCCCCGTTGACTTGGCTGGTCAGACGGTCGCAAAAGGGGATCATGTGACCCCCGGGACATTGCGAGCGTCATAAAGATGAGTCAGTTGTCCAGCATCCGAATGTAAATCACTTGAACATGGGAATGCGGCAAAAAATGGTCATAAGTCTTTTTTCCAGCGCCGTTGTAACTTCGGTCACTAAACGAACTGTCGTAAGTCAAGGACTAGCTGTATATTGGTCTATCTTTCTTGCACAGCAATAAATAGATCTTCTTTAAACGACTGAGCAGAATCATCTCTCTTTGCAAGAAAAAGAGGAGTAGAATTTCTCCATTAGAAGCATCTACAGAAGTATTTCTTAACCGTGGTAGCTTGAAGATGGGTGGACTTCAACTCCCAGAATCCCCCAGCCAGCAGCGCTGGCTGGGGGAATTCTGGGAGTTGAAATCCACCCATCTTCAAGCTTCCAAGGTTGAGAAACACTGATCTACAGGTAGTCCTCGACTTACAACAGTTCATTTAGTGACCTTTCGAAGTTACCACAGCACTGAAAAAGGCGATTTAGAATCATTTCCCACCCTTATGACTGTTGCAGCACCTCCATGCTCACTTGAATAAAATTCAGACCCTTGGCAACTGACTCATAGTTATGACAGTCGCAGTGTCCCGGGGACACGTGATTCCCCTTTTGCAACCATCTGACAAGCAACGGGGAAGGCTGGATTCACTTAACAACCATGTCACTAACTTAACAGCTGCAGTGGTTCACTTAACTGTGGTGAGAAAAGTTGTAAAAAAGGAGCAAAACTCACTTTTTAACCCATTTCTCACTTAACAACATAAATGTTGGGCTCAATTGTAGTCGTAAGTTGAGGACTGCCTGCATTTCTATCTGCCCCAACGTTTCCTGCAATTCTTTCTTTTTTTGGCGACGAGGTAGGGAAGAGTGGGAAATGACGGTTAGTTAAAGAAATGAAAATAATTTGTATTCAAGGAGTGATTTGGATAGGTTAAAAACTGAACATCACTGAAATGCTGCACACAATCACAAGCACAACCACACAAATGTTTGGAGTGTCTCGTTGAATTTGGGGAGTCTATATTCCACCTGGAAAAATTTAACCAACCATTCAGATTTCAGGCTCCAACTGACAAGAGGCTCAAACCTCTTTCTACTTTCAAAGGACCAGATTCCTATTCCAGAAACGGCCACTAGATGGAGCAAATGTTCCACCAACAGTGTTTCTCAACCTCCGGAACTTTTAAGATGGCACTTCAACTCTCAGAATTCCCCAGCCAGTAGGGGGAATGCTGGGAATTGAAGTCCACGCGTCTTCAAAATTAAGAAGCATTGCTTTTTAGCTCAACACAGTCTTGAATCCCCTTTTCTACAAAATGACAAAATTCAGCGCATCTTTAAACCGTCCCATTGCCAACACCAAAAAAGCTGGGAAGAAAGTTGTAGACGATGCCACGGACGCCGTATAATACACGCCAATACCACTTTCGGGAGTTTGCGGGATTAGTAACGTGGGAATGTTGCTTCTTCTCAGGCATGCAATGTTGCAGGTGGAGTGTCTGATATTCGATGCAAGGGGGAAAGATCTCCAGATCTTACTCCCTATCCATAATGCCCTCAAAAAACTTGGAATGTTGCCGAGTTTAGTTGACGTTCTTCAAACACAAGTCCAGTCCTTGGGTTGGGTCTTGTTTTAGTCCAGTTCATCTCTTCTCCAGATTGGAATCCAGGAATGTCCACCCTGTTTTCTCCTGCAGCCAGTCCACATAGTTGGACACCTTGGTGTAAACCCCGTAGACTTGCTTGCTGCCACATTCTTCTGGTCCACCCCAGGAGACCAATCCTTGGGCCACCCACCTTCGGTCGTCCAAGTCTCGGATGACAAACGCACCTCCGCTGTCCCCAAGGCAGGTGTCCTTCCCTCCTTCGTAATAACCGGCGCAGAACATATTCTCCGTCACGCTGTAGTTCCCAGATCTGGACTCATAACTTGTCTTGCACTCCGCATGGAGGACCACAGGTAGCTTCACATACTGAAGAACATCTGACAAGGTCTGCATCCCAGAACTGATGACCTCATCCACCGTGATGTTGGGGTTGGAGATGCCCCAGCCGGCCACTAAACCCAACGTGTTGGGTTGAGGTCCTCCTAACTCGTGCGGATCTTGAGGTAGACAAACCGGCATAATGTAAGGTCCCATGGTCACCTTCTCCTTCAACTTGACCAACGCGATGTCATGGTTATAATTCTGGATATCGAAAGACTCGTGGAGAATGATCTTCTCCACCGTCCGGTTGACCGCGTCGATTTTGTTCCGGACGTCGTGAAGGCCCAGGTAGACGTTGACGTGTTCTTTGGAGACGGCGATCACCGTGTTGTCCCGTCGTTGGGAACGGAGGACGTGAGCGGCGGTCAAGACCCACGATTCGGACAGGAGGGCTCCGCTGCCGAACCACCGGTCGTTGGGCACCCGAGACGTGTCCTCAACCACGATCAGAGCTTGCCAGGGGAAGAAACCAGGTTCTGCGTTTCTCCCGCCGATTATTCGCTTGACCAGGGTGGGCAGAGCGCGGCTGGGTTGTCCACACACTAAGGGAGGAAAACAACACAGCGCACAATTAGCCTTCGGCACTCCCGCAAACAGAGCAAAGCTGCGAATTGCGGTAGATTATGCCATATTTGCCCTCTGTCATCCGATGTCCTACCTACAAGTAGCACAGGTAGTCCTCAACTTACGACCACAAATTGAGCCCAAATTATTTAGGGCGAAGCGAGGGCGTGGCTAAGGGTGTTTTGTCCCATTTTGCAACCTTTCACGGCAGTTGTTAAGCGAATCATATAGTCATTAAGCGAATCTGGGTTCCCCCATTGATTTTGCTTGTCGGGAAGTTTGGGAAGGTTACAAAAACTGATCACGTGATACCCGGGATACTGCAACCGTCATAAGTACATGCCAGTTGCCAAGCGTCTGAATTTTGATCACGTGACTGTCGGTTGATGCTGCAACCGTCTGAAAAACGGTTTCAAAACAGTGTGTGAAAAACCGTCACAAGTCACTTTTTCCAGTGCCGTTGTAACTTCGAAACGTCACTAAGTGAACGGTTGTAAGTGGAGGACTACCTGTATTGGATGGTGATTCTTGGCAAACTGGATTGCATTTAATTTCATTGGGAGAGACCCCTGGATTGACAACAAGCCAGCCATCAAAACATCAAATTTACATGCCTGATTTAAAATGAAGAAAATTTGCCTTTCAATTTTGCATTGATATGACAATTTCAAACTTGAATTACATGGCAGATTCGTCCCCAAGAAACCAGGCGCACTTGAATAGCAAAAGGAAGGAAGTTTAGGATTACAAAAAATAAAGAAATAAACTGTGCAATGAATTATTTTTCAAACGTGCAATTATTTCCCCCGGCATAAAATTCTCTGCAATTCTTTAGTTTCTTCTGATTAACTTTCTCTTAAAATCCATGCCGAGTTTGTTTTGTTTTTTTCAAGAAGAGATAGGACAGTCACTTGTCTGAAATAGGATCTCCTGCCTGAACAGGGGGCTGGACTAGAAGACCTCCAAGGTCCCTTCCATCTCTGTTATTCTATTCCATTCCATTCCATTCATTATGTTTAAATACATTCTATTCTATTCTATTCTATTCTCATTTTCTATATTCTATTCTATTCTATTCTATTCCTTTTTTCTATTTTCTATTCTATTCTCATTTTCTATATTCTATTCTATTCTATTCTATTCTATTCTATTCTATTCTATTCTATTCTATTCTATTCTATTCTATTCTATTCTGTATCAATACACGTAATCCTCGATTTAACAACTTCAATTGAGCCCAAAATTTACGTTGCTAACTGAGACATTTGTTAAGTGACGTTTGCCTCATTTTATGACCTTTCTTGCCACCGCCGTTAAACAAATCACTGCGGTTCTTAAGTTAGAAACATGGCTGTTAAGAGAATCCAACTTCCCCATGGGCTTTACTTATCAGAAGGTCGCAAAAGGGGAATCATGGGACACCACGACAGTAATAAATACGAGTCAGTGGCCAAGCGTCTGAATTTCGACCACGTGATTGCGGGGAGGCTGCGATGGCCATAAGTGTGAAAAACGGCCCTTTTTTCAGTGCCGTTGTAACTTTGAACCATCAGTAAATGAACTGTTATAAGTCGAGGACTACCTGTAAGATAGCATTCCCAGAATTCTTTCAGGATCTGAGTCCTATGGAGATAGAGCGGCATACGAATCAAATCAAATCAAATTAAATTAAATCTGTTCACCGGCATGGATCTTAAGAGTGAAATCGACCGATTTCCATCGTATCCAAAGATTTTTCCCTGCCCTTCTTTGAAAAGTGGCATGATCTACCAGCAATGATGGAGTCCCCTCACATGGTATAATCCATCATTGCTTAATCTGCGCATCTCAAATACCTCGGTGGGATGGCCACGCATGTGGGGAAGCGGCTACGTCGTTCTGTCTAGGATGACTTGCTCGTTCTTTGGAGCTGATCTAGGACCACCAGCAACACAACAGAACAAGGAAAGTTGTAGGATTGTCGCTCGCACATCTGGGGAAGCGCACTGAACCTTTGGCTCTGCTCCCCAGGATTACCGAGGCTAAAATATAGGAAGAACGGTTGCAGGAATTGGGTAGGTCTAGTTTAATGAGAAGAAGGACCAGGGGAGACATGAGAGCATCTTCCAATATCTTCCAATATCTTCCAATATCTCAGGGGCTGCCCCAAAGAAGAGGCAGTCAAGCTATTCTCCAAAGCCCCTGAAGGCAGGACAAGAAGCAACGGGTGGAAACTAATCAAGAAGAGAAGCAACCTGGAATTAAATGAGAAATTTCCTAACAGTGAGAACAATTAACCAGTGGAACTACTTGCCTCCAGAAATTGCGAATGCTCCAACACTGGAAGTTTTTAAGAAGAGATTGGACAACCATTGGTCTGAGGTGGTGTAGGGTTTCCTGCCTAAGCAGGGGGTTGGACTAGAAGACCTCCGAGGTCCCTTCCGACTCTGTTATTTGGTAGTTGCTGGATTAGCCAGCATGTCGTTTTTTTTCCCTGGCATGCAAACTGGGTTATACACCATCCAGGCTGTATCGCGAGAGCAGATTGTGAAGGAAGAACACAAACGCACGACAAAGCATTCGCTGTCCCACAGCTGGACAGTTTCTAACGAAAGCTTCAGCCTGGATAAATCAAACACAAACACTTCGCTTCCCACTTCACCCCCAATTGGCAAGCGTGGAGAACCTCTTGGGTGCGTCAAATCAGCGCAAACCGTGTGAAATTTTCTCCCCCTCGAAAGCAAAGCCCCAAACCTACAATAGATTGTAGGGATTTCAGCCCCGTAATGTTCCGTTCCTACCACAAGCTACAATGCAATGAACAGAACCAGGTCTCTTTGCAACCCCATTTAACACGGGGTTGTGGGAATGCAGCAGCTACAACACGTTGTGTGAAATTTTGCAGTTTTCTTCGTTGATCGACTTTCGTTGGCACCCCAAGCGCTGCCCTGGTCTTCCCAGGAAGAAAACCCGGTTAGTAGCCACCTCGTCACACCCTGAGCTCTGTCCTGTCCTCCAAGAAGAAAACCTAGTTAACAGCTGGCTTGTTTTATTCTAAAAACTGACGACACCCTCGAGGCATCTACCGTGTTTTCCCCGAAAATAAGACCCTGTCTTATATTTTTTTGAACCCCGAAATAAATGCTTGGCCTTATTTTTGGGGAGGTCTTCTTATTTTATTTATTTATTTATTTATTGGTTCGATTTATATGCCGCCCTTCTCCGGAGACTCAGGGCGGCTTACAATGTGTTAAGCAATAGCCTTCACACTTTTGTATATACCTGCTTAGTAGGACTTTTTGGCCCCCCCAAGCGGTGTTCTTTTTTATACAAAGTCAGCTTATTGCCCCCACAATCCGGGTCCTCATTTTACCTACCTCGGAAGGATGGAAGGCTGAGTCAACCTTGAGCCTGGTGAGATTTGAACTCGCAGTAATTGCAGGCAGCTGGTGTTACTTAACAGTGCATTAGTCTGCTGCGCCACCAAGGCTCTTTTGGGGTGCATGGAGCAAGATGGGGCTCCTCTTGCCGTCTTACCTGATTTCCAGCTCTGCGTTTAAATATTTTCGGGGAGGGCTTATTTTTGGGGGGAGGCTAATTTTAGTGCATGCGCTCAAAAGCCCGATTGGGCTTATTATCAGGGGATGTCTTATTTTCGGGGAAACAGCCTGTAATACAGTGGACTAAAGGACTGTTATTAACAACTGCTGCTTGCAATTACTGCAGGTTCGAATCTCGCCAGGCTCAAGGTTGACTCAGCCTTCCATCCTTTCTAAGGTAGGTAAATTGAGGACCCAGTTTGTGGGGGCAATAAGCTGACTTTGTATAAAAATATACAAAAGGATGAAGGCTATTGCTTAGCGCATTGTAAGCCGCCCTGAGTCTCCGGAGAAGGGCGGCATATAAATTAAAGCAAAAAAAACAAACAAAAACAATCAGGGGTATTTTAACCTTGGTGTCTGTTGCTGATGTAGGAAGGAGTTTTGCAGAAGGCGATCACAATTTTGGCCTGAAAGAAAGGAAGCCATGCGTTGTGTGTCTGTGTGTGCTGGGAGTTGGGGAGGGAATTGGGGTACCTGGCTGGCAGGACGGTAGACGGGTCCCCAGCTCGCTGCTTCTCCACGCGCCTTTGGCATCGCAGGCGAAGATCCCTGCCGAAAAGCAAAAGGTGGAAATCTGATTTTTTTTTATATCAAGTTTTATTTGTTTTTCCCCCCTCCAAATTCACCCACATCTTTTTTTGAACGGAGTATTGGCCATTATTTTATTATTATTATTTATTAAATTTATATGCCACCCCTCTCTGGAGACTCAGTGGACTCCATCTTATCTTATACAATTTATCAAATTCAAACACATTTTACTCCATTACAATGTTTGCCACAATTTTCTTTCCCCCCCCCTTTTTTTTAAATCATATCTCAATATTTCTTTGTTTACTTACATAAACAACCTCTTCGTTCGCCCTCAAATTCTAATTTTCCTGCTTATTCATATTTATTCGCTTTTATTCTTTAACGATTCATTCTTTATCTTAATATATTTGTGTTTGTTCTGGGTTGCCTTTCTTCCATTTCATCTTTTTTATTGTACAGCAATCTTTCTCCTCCAACCTATCATCTCCCTCTGGAAATCTGATTACGGGTCGACCTCAAACGCCTGACAGAATTGCAGAAAGGTTTGCCGTGCGAGAAGTTTGATACCCAAATATATTTGATTCTAGTTTATACTCTTTCCATCCCCCCCGAACATATTAACAGAACCCACAAGGGTCCGAGAATCGGGGTCTCCACTGGATAATTGACGGTCAAGCTGAAACCAACTAAAAAAAATGAGCAAAGTTCCTCAAACCCCCCAAACAAGTTAGCCAGACCCAATCCACATATCAAAGGATAAGGCCTGCACACATAAACAGGGTTAATTAAATGAGGTCTCCCAGAGGAACTGCATGCTCACAAGAATAAACATACCAACACACCCACACCATTTCTTAGCAGCCTGTCTCTAAAGGCAAACTATTTTGCTTTGAGGAATAAATATTTCTTCTTTCCTGACCACCGTCTGGATCTCATTTTTATTTATTCTCGCGCAACCTCGACTCCAGTTGGAATCCCAAATTAGTCTTCTGACGGTCAGGATGGACCATCTTGGACCGAGCATCCTTTCCTTGTCCAGCCCTCTATACCTTGAATCTCTTTGCCCCATTTTGTGACTGTTCTCCTTCCGTTGACTTCACGGCCGCATTCACACAACATCCTTAACCTGGATCTGAACCTAACCCGTTTTGGGGGGTTTGTACGACAGCTGGAACCAGAAGACAACTTAAAAAGCTGGGCTAACTCAGCACGCAAAGCTGCCAGAAACCTCCCAGGTTTAAGACTAGCCGAAACTTGGCGATGTTGTCTGAATGCATCTCCGCGAAAAATAGGGTTGGAGGCCCCCAAGCAACATGTTCCCCGGAGGACCCCAGGAAGACCCTCACCTGTGACGTTGGGAACCATTTGGTAGAACGGCTCTTGGCAGAAATACCGGATCTCCGACTGGTAGGTGGTCAGGTTTTGGGGGGTGGAGAAGGTGACGGAGCCGTGCGAGATTTCTCGGGGGGCTTTGCAGTCTGCAACTGGGAAGGAGAAGAGAAGGAAGAGGGTTACTTCCGAAAAGAGCTCCGTCATCATCCCAGTTTTGCCCTTGTGGGAAGCCCCCCCCCCCCCCCCCCAGAAGAATGAAATATTTTGGGGAAATATTAAGAGGCAGAATATTATATTTTCCCCGAAGGAGAAATGGAGACACATGTTCTTAGAGGCAGAAAGCAGGCCCCAAGTTTGTCTGTCTGTCTGTCTTTCTGTCTTTCTTTCTTTCTTTCTTTCTTTCTTTCTTTCTTTCTTCCTTCCTTCCTTCCTTCCTTCCTTCCTTCTTCCTTCCTTTCCTTCCTTCCTTCCTTCCTTCCTCTTTCTTTTCCTTCCTTCCTTCCCCCTCTCCTTCCTTCCTTCCTTCCCTCTTTCTTTTCCTTCCTTCCTTCCCACCTCCTCTTTCTCTTTCTCTCTCTCTTCCTTCTTCCTTCCTTCCTTCCACCCTCTTTCTCTCCTCCTTTCTTCCCTCTCTCTTTCTTTTCCTTCCTTCCTTCCTTCCTTCCTTCCTTCCTTCCTTCCCCCTCTCCTTCCTTCCTTCCTTCCCTTTCTTTTCCTTCCTTCCTTCCTTCCCCCCTCGCTCTTTCTTCCTTCCTTCCTTCCCTCTCTTTCTTTTCCTTCCTTCCTTCCTTCCTTCCTTCCTTCCCCCCTCTTTTTCTCTTCCTTCCTTCCCTCTCTTTCTTTTCCTTCCTTCCCCCCCTCTCTCTTCCTTCCTTCCCTCTTTCTTTTCCTTCCTTCCTTCCTTCCTTCCTTCCTTCCCCCTCTCTTTCTCTTTCTCTCTCTCTCTTCCTCCCTTCTTCCTTCCTTCCTTTCAACAGTTTATTTATACATTTTCATTTAACAAACCTAGCTGGTTTGTGAACAGTGTATTGCCTGGGTATAATTTGCAATGGTCATAGGAGTGAGAAACGGTCATAAGCCACTTTTTTCAGTGCCGTTCTAACTTCGAACGGTCACTAAATGAACCGTTGTGAGTCAAGGACTACCTGTACAGGTAATCCTTGACTTATGAACACAATCAAGTCAAAAAGTTCTGTTTGTAAGCAAGACATGGGTTATTGTCAACTTTGCCCCGTTTGACGGGGTTTCTCGCCACCGTTGTTAAGTGAATCAGCGCAGTTATGAAGCTAGTGAAACGGCCGTTAAATGAATCTGGCTTCCTTATGGTCTTTGCTCGTCAGACGGTCGCAATAGGGGATCACGTGACCCCGGGACACTGCAACCGTCATAAATACGAGTCTTATTCCCAATTTTGAATCACGTGATCACGGGAATCGTGCAACGGTCGTAAGTGTGAAAAACGGGTCCTCAGTCCCTTTTTCCAGGGCCGTCGTAACTTTGAACGGTCGCTAAACGGACGGTTGAAAACGGAGGATGACCTGGGAGTGGTTCTGTGGTTACGGAAAGCAGGTAGATAGAAGCTTTTTCCTGAAGGGGATGCCATCAAAAAAGCCGAAGCAAAACCTTCAGCTCTTCCCACAAAACGCAGGTGAAATTTTATTCACATTTTATTTTCCGCCGTGGTGGTAGCCATGATTTGCCTCTTTCAAACAACAATGAGTCACAGGGATGCGAGCAATGACGGATAAGGTATTAATACGCTGTTTTAGCATGCGGTGTGAACACGCTCAGTGTCTCCTCTCTTGCCCAAAGGATTTAAAATGAATTAATCCAGTGAATAAATTAACTCAGTTGGAACTCAGATGCAAATCAAGAAATGGATATTTGTTTGCTTTTACATATTCATCAGAGGTGGGGTTTCAGCAGGTTCGGACCAGTTCTGGAGAACCGGTAGCGGAAATTTTGAGTAGTTCGGAGAACCGGTAGTAAAAATTCTGACTGCCCCCCCTCCCCCATCTATTCTCTGCCTCCCGAGTCTCAGCTGATCAGGAAGAAATGGGGATTTTGCAGTAACCTTCCCCTGGAGTGGGGAGGGAATGGTGATTTTACAGTATCCTTTCCATGGAGTGGGGAAGGAATGGAGATTTTGCAGTATCCTTCCCCTGGAGTGGAGAGGGAATGGAGATTTTGCAGTAACCTTCCCCTGGAGTGGGGAGGGAATGGGGATTTTGCAGTATCCTTCCCCCTGGAGTGGGGAGGGAATGGGGATTTTGCAGTATCCTTCCCCTGGAGTGGAGTGGGAATGGGGATTTTACAGTATCCTTCCCCTGGAGTGGGGAGGGAATGGGGATTTTACAGTATCCTTCCCCTGGAGTGGGGAGGGAATGGGGATTTTGCACCTTCCCCTGGAGTGGGGAGGGAATGGGGATTTTGCAGTATCCTTCCCCTGGAGTGGGGAGGGAATGGAGATTTTGCAATATCCTTCCCTCAGGAGTGGGGAGAGAATGGGGATTTTGCAACATCCTTCCCTCAGGAGTGGGGAGGGAATGGAGATTTTACATAGTTAGTTGCTAAGGTGCTAGCTGCACCTTTTACCTGTTTGTCACTTGTGATGTTTTTTTGTGTTGTATGTTATTTATATGGTGTGTTGTTATTTTTTGTTTGTTTTTAATGGAAAATGTAAACAAAGATTATTTTTTTTAAAAAAGAGAGATTTTACAGTATCCTTCCCCTGCCACGCCCACCTAGCCATGCCATGCCCACCAAGTCATGCCACGCCCATCAAGATATGCCACGCCCACCAAGCCACACCCACAGGACCGGTAGTAAAAAAATTTGAAACCCACCACTGATATTAATGTATAACTAGCCATTTCTATAACACCAAATCAAGGCCAAAAGTTGGGTGTATTTATCTTTTCCTTGGCTAGGAGAAGTTGGAAGTCAATGCCCTCTTTTCTTTCTTTTTCTCTCCCCTTTTGTATCTCTCCCCACTTTCCCCTCCCCGTTCCCTTTCCTTCCCTTCCCTTCCTATTTTCTTTTCTTTTTGTATTTTATACAATAAAAATAAAAAATGGGAAAAAATAAATGGATTTTTTTTTTTACAGTGGCTGCAGAGAAATTCCCTAAAAAACCCTGACTTTTCCCCCCCTTGACTTACGACCAAAAGGGAGCTCTTAATGTCGGAAGTTCCGGTTCCCTCTGTACAGATAGTCCTCCACTTACGAACATTCATTTAGTGACCGTTTGAAGTTACAACGGCCCTGAAAAGAAGTGACTTACGACCGTGGCAAGCATCCCCCGTGGTCACATGATCCAAAATTCAGATGCTCGGCAACAGACTCGTATTTATGACTGTCGCAGTGTCCTGGGGTCATGTGTTCCCCTTTTGTGACCATCCGCTGAGCCAAGTCGAAGGGGAAAGCCAGATTCGCTTAAGGACCGTTTGACTAACTTAAAAAACTGCAGGGATTCACTTAACAACGATGGCAAGAAAGGCTGTAAAAATAGGGCAAAACCCACTTCGCCAATGTCTCGCTTAACAACAGAAATTTTGGGCTCAGTTGTAGTCATAAGTCGAGGACTACCAGTATTATAGTCTGGGCTGACTGTTTGATGCAGCATTTCCAACTGTTTTTTATGTTTTCTCTCCTTTTTACAAATTTTATTTGGTTGATCCGAAATTAAAAGACGTGCATTTTACGTTTTATATGTTTTCTCTAGTTTTGTAGGCCTCCCAGAGTCAACCGGAGTTTGGTGCCCTTAGATTAAAATTAATAAATTACGTGGCCTAGAGGAATACAGGTAGTCCTCGACTTATGACCACAACTGAGCCCAGAATTTATGTTGCTGAGTGAGAAATTTAAGTTGAGTTTTGCCCCATTTTACGACTTTTCTCGCCACATTTGTTAAGTGAACTGCTGCGGTTGTTAAGCGAGTAACCTGGTTGTTAAGCGAATCGGGCTTCCCCATGGACTTTGCTTCTCAGAAGGTCGCAAAAGGGGTTCACGTGACCACCGGGACACTGCGACCGTCATAAATGTGAGTCAGTTGCCAGGCGTGTGAATTTTGAAGCTTGGGGAGGCTGCAATGGTCGTAAGTGTGAAAGAGGGTCCCAAGTCTCTTTGTTCACTGCCGTTGTAACTTTGAATGGACACTAAATGAACTGTTGTAAGTCGAGGACTCCCTGTAACCGCTTCTGGGCAATGTTTTCTCCACAGCCGCTTGTCTAAGCCATGTGCAGGAAGTCCAGTCCAAAGGGGAACGACTTCTGTGGCAATTTATGGGCATTTTTCCTCTCTTCCCCTGATCACAACCTCTAAAAAAAATTCTATTCTATTCTATTTTCTCTCTCACTTTTTCTCTTTCTCTTTTTGTCTCTCTTTTATCTCACTCTTTCTCTTTTTCTGTTTCTTCCCCCTCTTTTTTCTTTTTTCTCTCTTTATCTCACTTTCTCTTTTTCTCTCACTTTCTCTCTTCCTTCTCTTTTTCTCTTTATCTCACTCTTTCTCTTTTTCTCTCACTTTCTTTCTCTCTTCTTTCTCTCTTTTCTTTTTTTGTCTTTTTATCTCACTCTCTTTTTCTCTTTCTCTCTTTCTTCCTCCTCTCCTTTCCTTTTTGTCTCTCTTTATCTCACTCTCCTTTTCTTTCTCTTTCTTCCCTTCTTTCTTTTCTCTTGTTGTCTCTTTATCTCACTCTTTTTCTCTCACTTTCTCTCTCTCTCCCCCCTTTCTCTCTCTTCTTTCTCTTTTCTTTTTTTGTCTCTTTACCTCACTCTTTTTCTTTCTTTCTTCCCCCTCTTCTTTCCTTTTTTGTCTCTCTTTATCTCACTCTCCTTTTCTTTCTCTTTCTTCCCTTCTTTCTTTTCTCTTGTTGTCTCTTTATCTCACTCTTTTTTTCTCACTTTCTCTCTCTCCCCACTTTCTCTCTCTTCTTTCTCTCTTTCTGTCTCTTTTACTCTCCCTCCCCATTCTGTCTCTCTTCTTTCTCGCTTTCTTTTTGTCTCTCTTTATCTCACTCTCTTTTTCTCTTTTCCTTTCTTTCTCTCTGTCTCTTTTTCTCTTTGTCTCTCGTTATCTCACTCTTTTTTCTCTGTTCCCTCACTTCTCTCTCTCTCCTTCCTTTCTTTCTTTTTCTCACTTTCTCTCTTTCT